GTCACAAAGAACTGGACACAACTGAGTAACGTAGCACACATGGGTGATTCTGATGCTCTTTCAAGTGCAAAAGCAAGCAATATAAATCAACAGTAGCTTTGCAGGGTAGGAATTAGAGCCCTTTCTCCAAATAGAATCCTACTTGGGGCCCCACCATGCTACATTTCACCAAATCTGAGCTGCCATTGATTGCCTCCTCAAACGTGTGTTAGAATCCCCAGGAGGATGGGTTAGGGTGTGAATCGTTGGATCCTAGCCTTCGAGGTTCTGAGTTGGTGGCTTGGGATGGCCCTGGAGCTTTTGTAGTTCTAGTAAGTTCTCAAGTGATGCCACAGTTTAGAACATGAGAGAGGAATGCACGGCCAGTTCCTAGTGTGAGAGGCTGCTGACTGGGTCCTGCGAAGTACAAATAATTCAAGAAGAAAATAATTCATCTGACAATCGATAAAAACAGAATCAAAGCGCAAACAGCACATCTACTGTAACGGATGCAGGTGTGGGAGTTCTGGATCCCTGGACCACTTCCTTGCCCTCTGATGGGCCTGAAGAGATGCAGGGCTTCGGAAAACACTCCATAAATTACTCCATCAGCGCAGACAAGCCACAGAGTGGAAGGGATCCACACTAGTTATATAGTCAACCACAGTGAACAACTGACCAGACATCCACGGCTTATAAAGAACCGCTACAGGTCAACAAGAAAAGCCATAGGAAAGACTGGAAAGGCCACTTTGTCAGAGAAGATAACCCAATAGCCAAAAACATGTGAAAAGACACACATTAAAATCACACGGTGGTACAACTGCACACCAGCCACAGTCGCTAAATGAAAAAGGCAGACAATCCCCAGTGCTGGGAAGACGTGCAGACAGAGGCTCACCCGCAGCTGTTGGGGAACAAATGGACGCCAACAAGGCAGTGGGCTATCTGCAGCATCTTAAGAAAACTGCACACAGAAATAACTTAAAACCCAGTGGTCCCATCCCTTGGTGTGTGCTAACAGCCATGTGCGATCTGTGTACCAAAAGACACACGTCAGGAGGTCCAGAGCAAGCTGGTTCTTTACAGTTGAAAAATAGCAACAGTCGAATACTCGTTTAGAGGCAGGGGTAAGGACGAGGGTCTGCGCGTAATTGACCAGTCTACAGCAGAGGGGTCCGTGAACCACAGTCGCCCACGTCACCAGCGATGTCAAATGAAAGGAACCAGGGACAAAGGCAGGCACAGATTCAATGAATTTCAGTAAAGTTCAGAAACAAGGTAAAAACTATTCTTTAGTGTCAGGAGTCTGTTTGGTGGTTAACGGTGGAGGGCAGTGGCTGAAAGCGGCACAAGGTCAGGGAAACTGGGAGCAAACTGGGTCAACCAGCGCTCGGGGTGCTAGATGCATTGGTGCGTCCACTTTGTGAAAATTCATTAAGTTGCACGCTTACAGCTTACACTTTTTTTGTATGCTGGACTGTTACATAGAGTTTAAAAGGCAAGAGGAAGAAGACGATGAAGAGGAGGCGTTGGGGAGGAAGAAAAAGAAATCCTAACACTTAGTCATCTAAATGTGCTTCCAGGATGAAGCTCAGCTTTGCTTCCTGACTGAATTCTCTTTGTGGTAAGGGCATCACGCCCTTGACTTGTAGTCTAATGTGACACTACCAAAAGCATTTCTACAGACCCCTCCGGTATTTACTGTATGAATATAGGTGAGTGCCCTCAGGGCCCTTTTAATGAGGCTTCATGAGAGAAGTTTCTCTAATATCTCAATTATCTCCACATCCTGAAAAGTTACTCTTTGCTCAAGCAGCAGGGGTGTGTGTGGGTGTGTGTGCCTATAACCCAGACCCAACATGTTTATGGAATATCCTGTTTTTCTTTTTGCTTTGGTTGCTAGGAAGCACTGTGTCAAAATTTCAACCCATTTTTAACAGTTCCACACACCCATTGGGTGTCTGCTCTGCACTGGGGGCGGGGCAGTCTAGCTGGGACACAGGAGGTGACCAGGAGGCGCTGGTCAATGCTGTGACACAGGGCCACTAGCAGCCTATAGTGGGGCCTAATGGACCCGTGGGCTTCCCAGGTGCTCACTGGTAAGGAATCCACCTGCCAAGTGGAGACGCAGGTTCAATCCCCAGGTCGGGAAGATCCCCTGGGGAAGGAAATGGCAACCCATGCCAATGTTCTTGCCTGGGAAATTCCATGGACAGAGGAGCCTGGCAGGCTACTGTCCATGGGGTCGCAAAGAGTTGGACTTGACTTAGTGATGAAACAACCCACCCTTAGAGCGTCAAGGAAGGCTTCTTGGAGGAAGCATCATTTGAACTAAGTATGACGGGACGACCAGACATTTACCAGGTGAGGAGGGTGGAGGGGGAGGTTCTAGGCAGAAGGAACAGCACAGGCAAAGGCATGATTTGAGAGTGAGTCTAAGGCCAATGGGAAAGGTCTATATTCTCTTTCCTTGGTTTTGTGTATTCTTTGATTCTTGGTTCCCTTTGCTGATTTTCTTAGCTTTAAATTTTTATCTTATTTTTTCAAGACTGCATGCAGCTTTCTGCAACCATGTGTGATACAAAGACAAAAGAGCCCAAGCAGAATACTCTGCGGGTGTTGACACAAGCATTCGTAGTTTGGGCCTCAGGAGCCTGCCTCCCTCCCCTACCTCCAGTGTCCCATGAGCTGGAGCTCCAGATGCTAGAAATGCTCACCTCCTTCTTCTCTCCAAGTCTCCCCCAGCCGCTGACACATCGCAAACCCCCAAGTCTGACCTGACAGCTCGTGATGGATTACTGCATAGAATGTCAGCTCGAAGGGAAGGAATTTCTGCCAGGAAGCCACCGACATTCCCCACCAGCCCACAGCTCTCCGACAGCTTCTGTTCTACTCATGGCTACTTCCAGAAAGAGAGGTCAGGTGCTGGCTCTCTGGAGCCTCAGTGGAGAATGTGAGGCATTCAGGTGTCATTCCCTCTCCTCACAGTCTCGTCCACGAGAAGGGCAGTAACCCAGGCCAGATTCTCCCCCTGGTGTGCCGGAGACCCTCCTTTCCAGGAGCCCCTGCCCCTCACCTGACCATGAGGGCGGACCGCCAGGGAATTCCCCATCTTGATTTCTGAGGTTTTCAGGGCTCCCTTAAATCGTGCCCCCTAGTCAAGTGCTTGGCTCACCCTAGTCCCAGCTGCCTGTCTCCAGGAAGCCCTGGTACGTCACGGGGTTCTGCTGAAGTCCAGGTGGAGCTCATTGAGTCCCTTCTTCATTCCCTTGTTCATCAGATGTATCTGAGTACCTTCCATGTGATAAGACTTTCAACCAGACCCCTTGGATACAGCCAGGGACAAGGCAAAGTCCCTGTCCTTACAAAGTCTCCAGGCCAACAGAGGGAGACAGACCCCAAGTAGATAAGCGTGCAAACTAGCTTTCAGATGGTGGAGTGCCGCGGGTATTAAACAGAGGGAGGTGACGGGGAGGGACGTCAGGTGGGGGGTGATATTACGTAAGTGGTCAGGGAAGACGTCTATGGACTGAAAAGTCTGAAGCTGGATCTGAACCATGTGATGCACCCCTCTCTGTGCAAATCTGGAGGAAAGGCAGAGGCAGCCAGTGCAAAGTCCTGAGGCAGCGCGAGAGACTATCTCAGTCCAGAGCAAAACCAGAGCTTCCTGTGCTTGCACGGCTGGGGTGGTGTCATGCTGACAATAGTGCTTGGTTTGTTTGATGGCTAGCAGGGATTATAATTAGGTTCACCAGCAAAAGACAACAGTACTCAATTCTTTTTCTTCAGCACTTTGTTTTTTAAGGGCAGTCCATATTGGTTCTTATATCTCTGGCTGAAAGGCCTTTTCTTCTATAAAGAGCCAGATAGTAAATATTTTTAATCTTTGCAGGTCACACAGTCTCTGTCACAAACTGCTCAACTCTGCCTTCGTAGCATGAAAGCAGCCAGAGATTGTACAGAAATGAATGGGTGTGGCTCTGCCAATAAAACTTTATAAAGAACCGGTGGTGTGAAATGGGTTTGCCCTGTGGGCCATAGTTTGCCCATCTCTTTTTCATCTTCACTGTATTTCACTAACAAGATGTGTTCATCCATTCTGTCAACAGACTCCCTTTCTGGTGCTTACATTCTCCAACATGAGAAGCGCTGCTGCTATGAGCGTCTCGTCATTTCATTTCTGTGGGAGAGGTTCTCCAGTATGTGAACCTGGAAGTGGGACTGCTGAGCCACAGGGTACAGGCAGCTTCAACTCTTAGAGATGATGCTAGACCGTTCAAGAGCCATGAGATCAATTTACACCCACACCAGCAGCCTGAGTTCCTGCTGCTGCGCACTCCTGTCGCCAGCGCTTGGCGACATCAGACTTTAGGATTTTGCCCACTTCAAGCATTAAGTGATACCTGTTGTGCTGTTAATGTACATTTCCCGATGGCTAGTTACTAGAGCATCTCTTCATGAGTTTACTGGCCATTTGCATTCCTGATCATTTAAACTCCTGAAATGAGTTCCCCTGCTGAGAACTGTCAATTTCTAATTTTTGTCCCCCCCTCCCCCTTTTTTTACTGGAGTGTTTACCTTTTCCCAATTGATTTGAGGAAGTTCTTTACATATTCTGGTTACTCTCTGTCAGTTGCATGTGTTGCAAATTTCATCTTCAAGTACGTGGTGTGTCTTAATTTTATGCTCTGACAATCAGAAGTTGATCACCTTACTGGGGTCACAGTGATCGGTCTCCCCTGCGAGCTGTGCTTTTGTGACTTATTTAAGCAATTCTTCCCTTGGGAGCCACATGACATGGCTTTGAGACCCATCTCTACACTTGCTGGTTGTGGGGATGGGGGAAGGCACTTAATACCCCAGCGCCCGCGTTTCTGCCTCTGTAAAAGCAGGGAGCGGAGTGGCATGAACCTCACAGGGTCAATCCGAGGAGTGTCGAAGGCACTGAGCACCATGCTGGGCTCACTGTCACCTTCCCCATCAACAGACCTCCCCCTGCGCAGGAGGGAAGGGGGTACCTTGCTCTCCAGCAGGTCTGCGTTCTGCCGGAGTTCATTCCGAGACTTCTCTGACTTCTCTAGCTTCTGCCTCAGTGCTGTGAGCTCCGCCTACAAAAGCAAACACAGTAACAGAAGCCATTCTGGACTGGAGGTGTAGGTTCCACATGTGTTAAGAGTGGCCAGCAAATGCAGTGGGTGATTCAGCCAGCCGATCTGTGATGACGGCCATTTCTGAATATGATCATCTCTGCTCAGGCAAGCCCAGTCCATACCAGCCTGGACCAGCGTCTGGATCAAGCCCACTGTTTATTGAGACGGGGCATACCCGAGTGAGACAGGGCCCTCCTGAGTGACACGGGGCACCCAGCTTTTCATCTTCCCCAGTTGCCACTTCTGGCCAGGGGGTCGTCATGAGGTTTACAACACTACTGTCAGGAGCAATTGAAATGCTCACCCACTGCAGGCCAGTGGAGTGAACCATGAAACGCACACCCCAAGGAGGACCACATGGCCATGAGAAGGGAACGAGAAAGATTTCTATAAAAGTGGGACCCACGTGACAGTACATAAATGCAGCACATTAATATGTTGTATGCCTTAACTTTACAATGCCGTAGGTCAAACATATTTCAACTAAATTTTAAAAGACAATCCAAAAATATGGACGTGGCACGGTTCTTAAAATCTGTTTTGAAGTGAAAAATGCAAGTTGCAGAAGAATATAGAGTATGCCACCTTTTGTGTAAGAAAGAAACCACTAGTTCTGTGTGTGCGTGTGTGTGTGTGTGTGTGGGTGCACGCACACATGTGCGCCCGCGTGTGTACATGTATACCTTGCTTCATTGTGCTGGGCTCTGCAGATACTGCATTTTTTACAAATTGAAGGTTGGTGGCAACCCTGCAGTGAGCAAGTCTATTTTCCAAAAGCATTGTCTTTTAATTAAGGTATGCAGATTTTGGGGGGACCAAATGCTATTACACACTTAACAGACTATAGTACAGTGTCAATGTAACTTGTATAGGTCCTGGGAAGTCACCCAATTCACGTGACTCACTGTGATATCTGATTTATCTTGGCAGCCTCAAACTGAACCTGCACTATCTCCAAGATATGCCTACATTTGCTCATTTTGGCCAAAAGGAACAACAGGCAGGATAAATCAGAAACCAATCAGAACAGTTTCCCTGGTGGCTGAGTGGTAAAGAATCTGCCTGCCAAGGCAGGAAACCCGAGTTCAATCCCCAGGCTGGGAAGAGCCCCTGGAGAAGAAAATAGCAACCCACTCCAGTATTCTTGCCTGGAAAATCCCATGGACAGCAGAGCCTGGTGGGCTGCAGTCCATGGCATCACAAAGAGTCAGACACGACTGAGCAAGTAAACAACAATCAGAACAGTTACCTGCATCAAGTGGGTGCTAACAGGGTTGAAGGGAGGGTAGGGAGTGTCCTCTGAGATACAAAGATAAACGGCTCACGAACTCGCCCGCAGACCTCTCCGGGAGGAGTGGGAGCACACGCTCCCACACCCGAGGTGGAGTGCCTGCCTCTGACTGGCACCCACTCACCTACCGAGGAGCTGGGCAGCAGGTGGAGGAAGGCCGTGCCAACTGGGGCAGAGGGATGTCTGTAAAGGGGCAGCGAGGGCTCGTGGTGGAGCAATCCTGGATGAAGAATATCCAGGGCTGGGGGCACTGGGTCTGGATGCGAACACCAGGGAGCGGGCTGGAGGGCGTCAGGGGGAGTGGGGATCGCCCTGCCCACCGTGTGGACCCACCTCCTTAGCGCGGAGCTGCTCCTCCCCGATGGTGGCGCTCAGCAGGGGCCGAAGGGAACCCAGCAGCCGCCACCACGGCCAATCCCTGACCGCCAGGAACACAGCCACATTCTTCTGGATGCACCGGGCGGCCAGCCGGTGAATCTGCAGGGGATGAGAGTGAAGACTGAGGGCCCTTCCCAGCTCAGCTGAAGGAGGCAGAGGGCGAGGGGCAAGGGGGGTGGAGGATATCGGTTTATCCTTAGTGGAAGGGATAGGGAACTTAAAAAAAAAAAAAAGGCTTCCTTTAATGGAGTCAGGCTGTCGGCATCAGGCCACAATCTAGTCTGGAATAACTAATAATAACAATAGGATAAGGAGTAGAAATACTATACAGTGGGGTCACCTCTCACATGAGGATTAGGCTCAAAAGTCACCGTGCAAGACAAGACTCTCCTGGAAAATTCCTGAAACCTGCTCACAAGAAGCAGTGGCCCTGATGATGCTGCCGGTTGATATTTAAGGAAGAGATACTATTTTCAGTGCATTTAAACACAAGTCCATGCTTCTCACTGTTGAATGTGCATCAAATCTCCAGGAGGGCTTGTAAAAACACTGATGCCTGGGTTCCAGCCCAGAGTGTCTGATTCAGTGAGCCTGGGGCAGGGCCCGAGAATCTGCATCGTGCACAAACTCCTAGCTGATGTGGATGCAGCTGGTCTGGGGACCACACTTTGAGAACAGCTGACCTAGGTCGTTCTAATCAGAGGTGGGAATCAAGCTGAGTAAGAAGCCACCATCACAACAGCCAAGGCTTGCTCAGCTGGCACAGTGCCTCCTACAGGCCAGACACGACCTGGAGCATCTTACAGAAGCTCAGTCCTCACTACCGCACTATGAAGGTAGGTGTTTTTATCATCCCCATTTTACAGATGGGAAAACCGAGGCACAGAGCGGTACAGTCACTCGTCCAGTGTCACACAGCTTCTCAGAGGTTGAGTCAGGATCTGAACCCCTGCAATGTCGCTGCAGACAGAGCCCAGGCTCTTAATTAACCTGTTTCAAATTGTTCCACGGCATAAATGACCTGAATACAACGGGCCGGTGAAACAGCTCACAGTATTTTCATTATTAATCTTCTTGCCTTTTTCTGTTCTCACCAGGTACGTATTTGTGAGTTTACGTGTCCACAGAAGCTGGGGCACATGCTCTAAGACTCTGTGCCGGTGGCAGTAATTACCACCACCACTAGGGCAGTGGCAGCTGGTATTATTACTGAGCAGTTACCACGTGGCAGGCCTGCACTACGTGCATGCTATCTCATGTCGCCTCCACTCAGCGACTGCGTGGTAGAGGTGAGATTCAAACATGGTTCCTGTTCGCCTCCAGAGCCGTGCTGCGTTCTCCATCATGCAGGCTGCAGAGAGGAGACTCAGTCTCTGAGAGGTCTGAGGATGATGGCCTAGAGTGGTTCAGGACTGCAGACTCCGACCCTGCCCTCTGGTCCTAAAGGCCTCCATGGATAGATCCTGCCCATGCCCTGTCTGACCCACGGCAGCCAAGTTCTTCAGAGATGGGACAGCCTGAAATCATTTCCAACCCAGGAGGGCTTGGACAACCTTTGGACATCCTGATCAAGGTTCTCACCAGTGGTGATTTGATGTCAGTTCAGTTCAGTTGCTCAGTCGTGTCTTTGCAACCCCATGGACTGCAATACACCGGGCCTCCCTGTCCATCACCAACTCCCAGAGTTTACTCAAACTCACGTCAACATCCTAGAAACAGCTGCATCATCTTACAAATTGTCTGTTAAAGTCTAGGACAGAGTGTGGGCACCAGCATGGGAGACGGGCAGACCTCCTTGTCCACCCCAGACTCACTGGACCATGATCCGCATGCCAACAACATCCCACTGGAGATTCATGCCCAAGAGCAAGTGTGAGAAGCAGGGATGACAGCCCCTGGGCCACCGTGGGGACGCTCTTCCAGATCCCACGCCCCTGCTGGGTTCACGTGACACTCAGCGCCCCCACCTTCAGCTTCTTGAATCCCTGGCGAGAGAGAAAGCCCCTGCAGGCCGCCTGGAACAGGACGATGCTCTGAGACACCAGCTTTTCCCGCTGCCTCTCCAGCCTGGACACCACACCCGCCTTGAGGAAGACCTGGAGAGAGGGAAGGCGGCAGGTGACTTTCTGCAAATGCAACAGACTGTCTCACATGGGAGGGCTGCAGCTCAGCCCCACTTCTGCATCCACCCAGAATGTTCGTGAGCAGCTGCCCTGGACCGGGGTTCTAAACGGTCAAAGCACTTTGTCTCCTGAGGCCTCCTCTTTCCCTCAGCAAACGTGCCTGAGTTCCCCTGGAGACTGCTGACACACCAGTCCCAATTCAGCAGGTCTGGTGTGGGGCCCTCGGTCCTGCTTCAGAAAGAGGGGCAGAGAATGCGGGGAAGTGGGGGCAGCCCTTCTCGGTCAGAAGAGGACGGGGCTAGGTTGGAGCTGCCCGCAGGAGGAGCGCAGGCATCGAGCGGAAGACAGCTGGAGGTTCACAGTTCCGGGCCTCAGCTTGTCAATAACGAATGGGGGCTCCCGCGGCAAAGGGATCAATGCGTTCTCGGCTCCCACGGGGCTGCCCCTGAGAGCCTGCAGGGAACAGCAGAGGGTTTCCAGAGTGAACCTGAAGCTCTGGGGCCAGGCCAGCCTTGGCCAAGGCGCTGGGGTCACTGCGGTTGGTGTCGCCTCCCCAGAGGCAAAGGAGAGGCGCTCCCACGCTGTTCATCTTCTGAGCACAGTCTCATGCGTTACTTTGCCAGATGCGGTTTGTAGCCCCGAAGGTGGCCAGCCACTGGACAGTGCCATCTTAATCACTGATACTGTCAGGTAATCTCGGGCATTATCCATTAACGGCTAACATGGATGGAGCCCTCCTGTGTTCTGGATCCCAACCAGATGTTTGATATGCAGGCAAAACACTTGACATGGAGAATCTTAGATGGTAGTTACCACAACCCCCCACTTAAAACATCTTTTTTGGCTGCACCGTGTGGCATGTGGGATCTTAATTCCCCAACCAGGGATCAACCCCAGCCCCCTGCGCTGGCAGCAAGAAGTCTGACCCACTGGGCCACTAGCAGTGTCTAATCCCCACGTTTGATGGAGGGAGAACCTAGGGCTATAAAAGGCATGATTTTGCCCAGAGCCTCCACTGCCAAACGGTAACACCAGGATTTACTTCCCTCTCTGACTCCAGAGACCACGGTTGTCACTGAATGTAATTAACATTTGCATGGCATCAGCATTTTGAGAAGCTCTTCTCCTATGTCCCATTTTAACTTGAGTTCACGTGGCTGGTGAACAGCAAAGCTGAGACTTGATCCGGGAACCTCGAGTCCACCTCCTGCACCCATTCACATCGTCGGCATGAGGAGCTTTCATCTCCTGGTCACGCGGTACCCAAACATCAGGGGTTTGTGGCCGAACAGTAATCTGATTCCAGGGGGAACCAAGGGTCTCCGTCAAGTCTCCGTCCCCTTAAACCTGTTTTCTGTAACCATGACCAACCACTTGACCAGTCCCGAGGCAAACCTTTTCTCGGAGGGAAGGTGGAGATTAGCGCACCCCATCGCTGCTAATCAACTCTGTTCTGTAACCCTCATCGCTTTACACAACACTTCCTTTGAGCTGGGCTGCCAAGACAATCAGCCTCGTTGAAACAAAGACACAATTGACTCATTACCTATCAGATTGCCTCAATAATGACTGTATTAATTTCACAAGCTAGTGAGTCCCAAAAGCTGCTGTTAAAAAAAAAATCAATGATCAAAGTGATGACAGCACTAGTCCGTATATTACAAAAGTCAGCAGGCGCTGCCAAAACTGTTATTGATTAAGTATGAAGCTTTCATTAAAAAGATAATTGGAAACGACCATACACAGAACGGGAATAAGTCATCGCCTTGGTAGAATCCTGATTTTTTTTTTTCTTTTCTTTTCTCTTTTAAGAGCACATCGTCGTCCAGGAGGCCAACGGCATGTGGAATCCCACCTTTTTCATAAATGTCACGGCCCTCGGCACAGGCCTCAGTAAGGCACTGGGGACTGAGAATGACAAAGGAAAATCTAAATGATTCACTTCTGTGGATCCATCTGCTTATCGGACCCAAGCAGAGTGTCATGCCCCAACACCCCTGTCTGAATGGGGTCTCTGGGAGCCACTGTCAGGTGCACCGCTTTTGCTCTCAAGGTGCTGCGGGCCAAGGTTTCAGCATCTAATGTGGCCACGGCCCTCCTGTCTAATACCGCAGAGAAATGAGCTATTCTCTCTTAGTAATTTTCCAGATGGGCGGAGATCAATTCTTTAAACATTAAAATGTTACCCTGTTTGACAAGCATCCTGCCCCTGCGGGCAAATGCCTACCACAGACAATGCAGACCACCCCTGTCAAATGACAATGTACTGATCCCCACAGCCGACTTGGGAGGTAGAAAGTAGGGGGTCCATTTTAGAGATGGCGGAACTGAGGCTCAGAGAGACTAAGTCACTTACTCCACATTCGCGCTCTGAGGCAGTGGTGGGGCCTGGGTGTGGACCAGATCAGTCTGTCCTCTCCTATCCACAGACTTCCCATCTATGAAGCGATGAATCTGACAAAGCATGAGACCTGCATCTGCCCTTAAAGATGGCAGTCTGTCACCACACCTGGCTTCCAAAAGGATACATGGACTTTGACATGCTCTGGATGGTTTCTTAGTGAATGCCAAGTATGACTCAATATTCATCCTGTTTTATCATAGGATGTTCTGGCTTGCAGACCTTTTGTCTCACCACCCCGAGACTGTGAATAGTGACTTCTTATTTGGCTCTTTTCTTCCCTACTCTGCATTAGTTGCTGGGGTCACAGAAACTCATGAAATAACTAGGCACTTATCTAAACAGGGGTTCTCCAACCTAAGCATGTACTGGGATCCCCTAGAGAGCCTGTTACAACTCAGACTGTGGGGTTCCACCTCCAGGGTTTCAGAGTCAGTGGTCTGGCTGGGGTGGCGTCACCTGAGAACGTATGTTTTTAGGAAGCTCTCGGGCAATGCTGAGGCAGCTGGTCCAGGGATCACACTTTGAGAAACGCTGCTAGTCTAAAAGGATAATGTTCTTGGAGCTGGAGAAGAATTCCTCTGATTAAAGAATTTGCTGTATATTTCCATTAATAAACAATAGAATCACAGCATATTGAAAAGAATGTGGGAGGACTTGCCTAGCAGTCCAGTGGTTAAAACTCCATGCTTCCAATGCAAGGGCCATGGGTTCAATCCCTGGCTGGGGAACTAAGATCTCATGTGCTGTGGGTGTGACAAAGGAAAAAAAAGAAAAAGAACTTGGGCTTTGGACTGGTACACATTTCCATGGGAGTTGTGCTCCTGGATCCTGAGAGGAACTGGAAAAGGGGCTGACTTCCCAGGGGTACAGTTTCCTCATAGTGAAGAAGGGATATTATAATCATCTCAACAGAGCCTATGAGGGGAAAAGAGGAATAACATATGATGTTGCTTAGCACAGCACCAGCCTTATGGTGGGCCCCAGTAACCCATGGGTTTATCTCCTCCGCTGGAAACGTCCACAGAACGTCCTATGGACCAATCAGGTTGGGACCACAGCAGACTAACAGCTTCCACCACAGGCTTTAGCAGGACCAGGAAGCCTGTGGGGAGAGGCTGGTGCGTCTAGGGGGCAAGGACCAAGGTGAATGACTGTGAGCTCTCCAAGGAAAGAGGCGTGATGGGGCAGGACACTCAACTCTGATAAGAGGCACTCAGGGCCAATAGTGGCCCAGGATGGGCTTGTGGAAACCAGGGTCCCTCCCCAGAACTGTACACAGTACCTGAACATGGGGGGCAATTGACAAGGGTTTCCTGGATGACGTTAACCACTCAGAAGGTAACTAGGTGGGGAAATGGCCCCCTAGTCTCCTCTGTCTCCAGTTTGTATTCCTAAATGTTGTCCCCAGTCTCCTCCCACCAGTTGGCCCTTGAGTCTGCAAACTCTGTAGCTCACTCCCCACACTATGACCCACTCACTCTGGGAGGTGGTAATGGGTCTTCCACTGAATCAAGTGGGTGAAGGCTCCAGGGTCAAGTCATCTGGGGAGCCCTGAACACTGTATGTTCCCTCATGAAAGCTCAGAGGATGCCTTGAGCACATGAGGGCTCCATGAAATTCTTCTCTAAGCGTTTAAACTTTTTCTGAAGGGCTTCTGGCTCAACACCCATGTGGAGACATCTATGTCCCTCAGATCTGAAATTATACGCCTTCTTCTCATGCCCTCTCCTCTCACTTACTGCTGCCAATCTCTAAGACTACCAGCTGTGTTACATGCGGTTGCAAAGAAAAAGTTACAAGGCTCCGAGTAAAGGTGGGCCTTTCTGAGGTTCAGAAAGTTCTACTAAGGTCCACATGTTAACTCTGCAGACTGACGAGGTCCCTGAGAGTGTCACCTCTAGAAAATGATATTCCTCAATGGTCTCTCCATCCACACTTACCACATTTTATCTTAACAGCCTTGCAACATAAGGAGGGCAGAGAGTCACTAGCCCTGTGTTCAGCTGAGGGAAAAGGAGACACGCAGAAGTAGAGGAAGCTGAGGAGGACAAGAGTCAGGTCTCACGTGGGTCCCTGATATCATAGGTAGAACGGCAAACAAAGGCGCTCTACTCACCTGGCTGTGCCCCATGGCCACGGCCTTCTTCTCCAGGTCCAGTGTCTGCAGGAGCTGCGCCACGGCCTGGGAAGGAGAGGAGAGTTAGAGGGGAAGACAGGCTGCTGGCTGGAGACTCCCAGAGTGGATGGCCAGCTGGCTGGAGGGCTGATAGATACCCGGAGAGCACAGATGTCTCCCATGTCTTTGAGCTACCAGAGTTCCACCTCCCCAGCAAAGTGCAGAGATGGGCATGGACTGGGTACTGACTCTGTGCTCTCCACCCTGCTGAGACCTTCAAAGACACCATCTCACTTCACCCTCTCAGCAACCCCAGGCGGTTCGTCACACTAGCACACCCATTTCACAGAGGAGAGAACCACAGACACAAAACTAAATGGAGGGTGTGTCTGCTATGGAAAACAGTATGGTGAAACCTCAAAAAATAAAACATATAATTACCATATGATCTAGAAATTCCACTTCTGGATATATATACCCAAAAGAACTGGAAGCAGGGACTTGAACAGATTCTTGTACACACTCAGTTCATACCAGCATCATTCATAGTAGCCAAAAGGTGGAAGTAACCTAAGTGTTACTAAACTCAGTGGTGACTGCAGCCATGAAATTAAGAGACACTTGGTTCTTGGAAGGAAAGCTATGATGAACCTAGACAGCATATTAAAAAGCAGAGACATCACTTTGCTGACAAAGGTCTGTCTAGTCAAAGCTATGATTTTTCCATAGTCTTGTACAGATGTGACAGTTGGACAATAAAGAACGCTAAGCACCAGAGAACTGATGCTTTAGAACTGTGGTGCTGAAGAAGACTCTTGAGAGTCCATTGGCCTGCACAGAGATCAAACCAGTCAATCGTAAAGGAAATCAACCCTGAATATTCATTGGGAGGACTGATGCTGAAGCTCCAGTACTTTGGCCACCTGATGCAAAGAGCCAATTCATGGAAAAGACCCTGATGCTGGGAAAGATTGAGGCAACAGGAAAAACGGGCAACAGAGGATGAGACGGTTAGATGGCATCACCAACTCTATGGACATGAATTTGAGCAAACTCTGGGCGACAATGGAAGACAGAGGAGCCTGGCACGCCACAGTCCACGGGGTCTCAAAGACTCAGACATGATTTAGCGACTGAACAACAACAACCTAAGTGCCCACAAACAGACGGATGGATAAACAAAAATGTGGTGTATATACCCAACGGGATATTAATCATGTTTAAAGGGGAAGAAATTCTCAAACAAGCTACAACGTGGATAAACCCTAAGGACATTATATTTAGTGAAGTAAGCCAGTCACAAAAGGACAAATACCATATGATTCCACTTATATGACATACCTAGAGCAGTCAAATTCATAGAAAGTGTCCATAGAATGATGGCTGCCAGGGGCTGGGGTGACGGGGATGGGAAGTTAGTGTTCAATGGGTACAGAGCTTCAGTCTTGCAGAAAGAAAGAATTCTAGAGAAGGATTGTGGTGATGGCCACACAGGAGTGTGAATACACTTAATATTGCTAAACTGCACATTTAAAAATCTCTAAAATGCTGAATTTTATGTTATGTATATTTTGCCATAAATTTAAAAAAAAATGAAATGAAGGGAATTCCCTGGGTGTCCAGTGGCAAAGACTCCACGCTCCCAAAGCAGGGGACCCGAGTTTGATCCCTAACTAGATCCATCTGCCACAACTAAGAGTTTGAAACTAAGACCCAAAGCAGCCAAATAAATAAATATTACAAACAAAGACAAAAACAGAATGAAGGCATTTCCCCAAGGTTATAAGTTACACGAACCAAATTCGAATCAGGGTCTGTCAGGCCACACTGCAACCTCTACGTCTGCACTGCTGCCCAGGCCCAGGACAGGGGCAGAGGACCCTAGGCCACTGGGAAATTTACTCCCGTGACAGCCACCCCAGCATCCTGTCCTCTTACCCACTGGCCAGGGACGGCCTGACTCTCCCGAATATTTGCTGAATCATGATATGGGCACTAACCCTGTGTTCCTGGCCTAGATGAGGGAGGGAGAGTCCATGTTTAATTCATCAGTTTCCTCTACCGCATCTGGTATATAGCAGGAGCTCAATAAATACGATGTGATCCAGTGAGGGTGGAAGCAGGGCAGGTTGGAGTGGGGGAGTGTGGAGAAAGGCAACGCCCCCTTCAGGAGAAACAAATTCACCTGAGATCCCTAGACCCTGCCTTGGCCAGGCCACCAGCCATTTAATGGAATCTGGCTCAGACAGTAAAGAATGTGCCTGCAATGTGGGAGACCCCAGTTCCATCCCTGGGTCAGGAAGATCCCCTGGAGAAGGGAATAGCTACCCACTCCAGTATTCTTGCCTGGAGAATCCCTTGGACAGAGAAGCCTGGCGGGCCCCAGTCCAAGGGGTCACAGAGAGTCAGACATGACTGAGTGACTAACACTTTCCCTTTCCTCTTGTCACAGAGGCTGCAGGCTCTGGAGCAATCCTGTCAAGAGATCTGCACCCTCGGACAAATGCAGGTCCAGCCTAGTCCCCTTGTGACTCCAATTCCCCTCCCGCTCCACCCCCATGCCAACCCTCTCGGACTTCCCATTCACTGAAAACCACCAAGTCTATCTACAGAATAAACTGTCAGAAAAGTCGTTGTGACATTCCACGAAGAAAAAGGTATTCTGAGACAGAGTAATTTGGTAGATGAGTTTCAATTCCACGGATCATAGCATCACAGAAAACTTCCCAAGACACACACGAAAGAGAAAATGCTTATTAAAAGTCCAGACCAAGGCTGTAATCTGGGGGGAAGTTTCCTCCTCTGACCTCCGAGAACATTCCATAGTGCCCCCTCCAAAAACTCAGTGGTTTCACTTATTATTACATTTTAGCCAAAATTGCTCCCAGGGAGCTACAGGCAGCAAAATGCAAAAAACCAACATATCCAGAAAACGTTTTTTCCTCTCTGCACAAGAGGAAAACAAAATAAAAACTGAGAAGCATTTATTCAAGAGAAACTACTGGGTGGGAAGCTTGTGGTAACTGTGATCAGGACCCTTGCACTCCCACCAGGCTCTGTCACTGCAGGGGTCCCACTGGGGTGAGGCAAGCAACGAAAACTAGCTGCTTTGCTGCCGGAAGAGGTTCACGTACACGGAGCAAAGTGCGGAGAAATCCCACACCCAGAACCATCGTCAGAAGCAGTGAGTGATCTTGGCACCAAACGAATGGAGAAGGTCAATGGCACAGCTAGCCTAACACTGTTTTCTGAGAGGGGCAAGCAGTGGACCAGTGATCAGCCAGGTCCCCCTAACAAGAAGATACTGGGAATGGGGCGTGGGAATATGAGGCCATGTGCTGCTGCTGCTGCTGCCACGTCACTTCAGTTATGTCCAAGTGCTCAGGCAGAAAATACAGGGGAGAACCATACAGAAAGTAAAACCTGTGGCATAACTATAAATGCCTGAATGCTGGATACATTTTCCAAACCACACAGATCACTGTAAAATCACTGTAAAAAAATCAGATAAAAGCGTCACACATTCAAGATGTTTGACCACAACCTCTTCTGACCACTAAGCTGTGCTGGCATGGGGTCAACCCTTGAGAATCCACAATTTCTAATAGAAACAAGAATTTTTAAGACGTGAACAGAGACAGTAGCGGTCTCACACCACAGGGGAGACAGACTATAAATCTAGTCCTATTAAGTTACTAAGCAACTAGAGAAGGTTGGGATCTAGAGATACAATATTTTATTATCAAAAATGTCCTGTTTTCAACAAAAAATTACAAGACATGCAAAGAAATTAGAAAGTGTGACCTATGTTCAAGGAACAAACCCCCAAAATCAGTCACAGGAAACCCTCTCAGGGTGTAGATGCCTTTAAAAAGCCTTCTAGACAGCTCTCACAAGGCACATAACGGGCTTAATTAACTCACCATTCCTGGCACATGCTGAGTTTCCATAAGGACTAGTAGGTGGCGGAGGCTCTGAGGTTAAAAGTCCCTCGTGGGCACTGTGGCGTGATGACACGCCCTCACCCTTCACCACTCTGGGCTCAGACTGCTAGGCCCCGAATGTACCCGGGAGAGACCCAACTCAGCCTCCAACGACAGGCTCCCGGTGTCCTCCAACTGTGCACAGAGGTGTCTCCCCAATATTTAACGAGGATGCCCCCGCCCCCTAGAAAAGCACACAGTCTGGCATCTCACATTAAGCTGCACATGCCAGACCGGTAGCGGAAGACTCCAAGAACCACAAAGGGCCGCGGCTGGAAAGGGCTCCCTACTCACACCTCCACCCCTCCATGGTTCGCGCGATGCAGGGATCCACGGCTGTGGGAATGGACGCTCTCCTGACCACCCTGCTGTCAGGACAGCACCTCCTCCAGAAAACCCACACCGTGGCCCGATGGCTGCCATATGCTGGGCACCTACTATGTGCCAGGCACTGTTATTTCCTGTCACACACTGCCCCTGGTCATGCAGCTATCAAGCATCAAGGGGCACAGATGAATGGAAAGAGAGATGGCAGAAACCAGGATTTGAACCCGAGTCTGTCTGACTCTAAACCACGTGCTTTTAACCACCAAAACTTTCACATGCTGATCAAAACATTCCATAAAGGTTAGGATTACGTCTCTGTTCTTTATAGTTTCATGATTATAAATAGTATGTCTGGCACGAAACACAAGCAATATGGACAAACATATAAATAAAAAACACACATATTTGTATAACTGGGTTGGTTCACACTAAACAGAAAACAAGCAGAATCTTTAAAACAGTAGACCCAAACTGGAAGAGGATGGCAAAGTGAGAAAGTCAAGAACGATGAATAAATTCCGGAGGGCTAGGGCTAAGGCTTTGGGAGGGCTTACCAGGTGGCTCAGTGCTAAAGAATCCACCTGCCAATGCAGGAGACACAGGTTCGATCCCTGGGTCGGGAAGATCTCCTGGAGAAGGAAATGGCAACCCACTCCAATATTCTTGCCTGAAGAATCCCATGGACAGGGGAGCCTAGTGGGCTATAGTCCATGGAAGTAAGGAAGAGTGGACACAACTGAGTGACTAAGCAGGCATGCACACAAACAAGGCCACGGGGGGCCTGAACAAATCCTTTGGCACCTTAGAATGGACAGCTTCCTCTCTTCCTCTCCCCACCCAAGGCCCCCAGCCATAGGCTCATGGGAACCTCTCCAGAAGAGAAAAGGACTCCGGGACAAGTTCAGAGGAAATCAGGAGTATCCACCAGGGTCTGAGATGGAACAAGAGTGGCTGCCTTTGAGAAGACAGGCATGCCATAGTTGTGTTCAGATCAAGTCCTTGGGGACAGAGATTTGATGCCTAGAATCAATCCTCACTGTAGACACTCTGAAGGGAAGAGGGGACCAGGGGTTTCCTGTCATCCATCAGGGAGACCTGGAAACTCCTGCCTTAGCAGCGAAGAGATAAGGGACCAGAATCTCAGACAGAGCTGAATGTGAACCTAATGAGCTCTTCCAGTAACCTTTCTAAGACCCCCTCACGGTCACTCTGGGAGGCCTTCAGTGTAGGTTAAGGCATAATCTTAGTCAGATGGGAAAGCCTGGGAGAGAGGAGAGGGACCCACCATGATTAGAGGGCAAGACGGTCATTTTGGAGAACTGAGCACGTGCCTGGGTGTCTAGAAGAGACAGAGGCATCCTCAATAGGTCGAGGTCAGCGTGAGGACACTGCTCCCTAGAAAGGGCCAGGGGATGGGCAGAGTAGACTTGACTTCCTTCGTAATTTTGCTTAAGCAAGTTCAAATAATAAAGATCTGATCTTTGATGCCATGCCCTTGCTGATAACCTTCCTGTCTGCCATCACTGACCACCTGATGAAGCCTAGACTCTTTGCCCCTGCTGACGATGACCATGGTCTGCCTTGCCAACATCCTCAGACCCTTTTCTTTTACCTGTCAGCATTTATGCACCAGCCACACTGGATCTGGATTTGACTCTGGACCTCTGCATCTGCCGAACCCAATGTGGCTTGCCCTGCAGTCTTTCTCGTACTTGATTCCTCCAAACCGTTCCAGAAAGCTCTATTCAATCATCACTTGCTCTGTCTTCCCTTTATGTCCTACCCTCAACCCCTGCTGGAAATATGAGAAGCTTTAGAGGTGTTCCCTGGGACCTCCCAAAGCCCCCCTCTCTGTCTGGGAATTGCTATTTTTCATCCTTCTTCCTCAGGAGGCTGTTTTCATCATCCCTGTCTCTCTGGTGGCCAGCATAGGGACTGGTGCAAGGCAGGCACTTGGTGACAGCTGGATGGAATCAATAATAATTATTTTAAATTAACATCATGATGGCATGTTCTGTGTAAATCTTAACCAAATACTCTGCCTGTCTTCAAAGGGCTTCCATTCAAAAGTCCTGTGTGAACATGAAAAGATGCTCACCAGCCCTGGCCATCAGGGGACTGCAAGTCAAAACCACGATGAGATACCACCTCACACCCGAAAGGGTGACTACAAAAAACACCCCAGAAAATAACAAATGTTGGCAAGGATGTGGAGAAACTGCAACCCTCATGCACCGCTGAAGGGAATAGAAAATGGTACAGCCATTATGGAAAACAGTTTGGACGTTCCTCAAAAAATTAAATATAGTATTACCATATGATCCAGCGATTCCACTTTGAGTATGTGCCCAAGAGAATAAAAAACAGGGTCTCAATAGAGGCATCGGTACACTGTGTTCATAGCAGGGTCATTCACAACAGCCAAAAGGTGGCAATAGCCCACGTGTTCACTGACAAGAGGATGGATATACAAAATGCTGCATACAAGGATGCAAGTCGGCCTTAAAAGAAAGGAAATTCTGACACGTGCTACTACATGGATGAACCCTGGGGACACCATACTGAGTGCTGTAAGCCAGTCACAAAAGGACGGACACTGCATGAGCCCACTTACATGCGGTTCCTAGAGCAGCCAAATTCATGGAGACAGAAAGCAGAACAGTGGTTGCCAAGGGCTGGCTGGGAGGCAGGATGGGGACGCAGTGTTCAATGGGGACGGTTCCAGTTTTGGAAAATGAAAGGAGTTCTGGAGATGGAGGGCCGTGATGGTTGCATAACATGAATGTACTTACAGCCACTAAACTGTATGCTTAAAAATGGGTTAAGGTGGTAAGTTTTATGTTATGTGTATTTTACAGTACATAGTAAAGAGCCCTGTGTGAGGAGTTTGAGAGCCTGGGTTCAAACCCCAGCTCTACCACTGCCCCATGACCTGGCTGGGGGTGGGAGCCTCAGTTGCTTCTGCTGTGAAATGGGGATAATTCCCAGAGCAGGGAGGCTTTATCAGTTGAGGGCTGTTTCAGAGTGAAAGTCGGTAGGGAACCTTTTCACATTACGCCTGATATTTTGTGATGAGAGTTTGTACATCTGTGGTTTAAAAAAAAGGCAGATGCTATTTTTGTTTCAGGAGCACCGAATCCAGCAGGGACCCTCCCAACGGGAGTGCTGCACTGGGAGAGAGCCCGGTTTAGGCACCACGTGCGCGTCAGGCGCGCAGGGGACGCGCCGAGGCCGGCTCACACCCTGCCAGTGAATTCCCTCTGCTGCCGACTAGCGTCTAATGACAATATTGACCTTTCCTATCTGTCAGACTTGTCTTATTAAATCCTGAGGTCTTAAATGCTTTGCACACAGAGGCTGGCAGTTTGCCCACCCAAGCACGTGTCCATGTATAATTCATGGTGTATCGTGCTGCCTGGCAGATGAATATTTATCAGCTTTTTCATAAGAGGCAGGCTGGCACTTCCTTTTGTTGCTACCAAAATCCTATGCTGCAGCAAATGAAATTTGTGAGCAAATAAAAAAAAAAAAACAAGAATAACAAGAAGTGAAAACTCCCCAGTCCATTCTGCTTGTAATTTTCCACTTTCCGAGGCCTCCAGTGTGTGTGTGGAGGTGGTTTCGGTCTGGCTACGAGAGAGAACTGCTGAGTCGTCCAGAATAGAAGCGCTTCCATATGCTACCCCCCCGCCCCCACCGAAAACTCCCCCACGCCCTACTTCTGCACAGCAGAGGAGCCCAAGCCCCTTTCAGTGGTTCCATTCCAGATGCTCCGGATGGAGAGCAAGACTGGGGGGAGCAGGCGACCAAGGATAAGGAACCCCGTTGAAGCTTGGTACACAGTGGTTGGTGGCACTGGGCCAGGCAGTTTCATGGTTTCCACAGTGGGATGCCCCCCAGGGAGGGGACAGCCCCACACCACACCAGCTGGGGCCTGAGGTCCCCTTCCCCAGGGGTGGGACGCAGGACCGCCGTGTCTGCGGGAGGGAGCCTGTGCCCTGGTCCCTGCTCCACAAGAAAGCCAAGAAAGGACTTAAGAACTGTGCCTCCGCTGCTGGCTTTTCTCGCCTTGCGACTCACTGACTGAGGATTCCAGGCTGGGGGGTCAGGCGCACATGAGCACACTCACTGGAGGGGAGTTTCAACACAGCTGTGAATGCAGAGTCTGTGCGGCCTGGCTGCCACCTCCCTGGCCTTGGAAGACAGTGATGACGATGCCAACGACAATCACAGTTCACACACAATGAGCCCTTACTATATGCCAGGCCCTGCGTCAAGCATATCAATTACACTATTATATACAATTCACCAAACGCTCCACTGAGGTTGGTATTACCCTTGTTCCCATTTTACAAATTAGGAAACTGAGGCAGAAAGATGGATTAACTCGTCTAAGTTCACAGTCCCAGCTGGGAGACAACTGCAGGTCTGTGTGACTTGAGCCCACGCTTTCTTAACAACCCTCCACGCAATCAAGAAACTTGAGTCCAAGGGCAAACCCACGAACGCCTGGCTGTGTGGCCTCAAGGCAATCAGTCACCTCTACGAGCCCACGTTTCCTCATTCACAAAAGAGGCCCAATGGCTCATTTTGCAGGCTGTTGTGAGGATGCACTAGGGCTTTGCAAACTGTCAAGAGCTCTGTCATCACCGATCAGCCGGTGGCTGTTCTCAACAGAAGCATTTACTGGGGGTTTGGCACTAGGAGTGAAGACTTCTGGCTCCAGAAGTTAATGGTAGAGATGGAGAAAGGGGACACACAGGGGCAGCAGTACAAGGTTAGGTACGTGTCTTCATTCATTCATCCAACAGGCAATTTATTGAGCACTTTCCATGAGCCCAAAAACACAGAGTCCCTTCAAAAAATGTTATTTCAGACATGGCTAAGTGCTATGCAGGTGTTTAAATAAGAAGATGCGATGGAGAATAACACGAGCAAGATCTGAACAGCAAGATGACACCGGCCTGGCCAGGACTGGGGAGAGGCGACAGCCCTCTGTGCAAAGGCCCTGAGGGGAATGTGTGGGGCCACAAGCCCTCTTTTCACAGACTCTCAGGGTGCTGGTACCAAGTGCAATGATGGTACAGGAATGATGACGTTTCAACCTGCTGGGAGCCCTCCTACCTCGGACCCGCTCTTCCTGTGGTTCTAATTCTTTTACTGCACTTCCTCATGCAGGGTTGCAGAAGGACCATTCTGGGGTGGGCAGTGTTGTAAGTGACACTGTAGGGAGCAGAGTCTGGAGTAGGGGTGTGGGCCAAACATCATGCCACCCTCATCTTGTCCCGAGACCCGACTCTCAGATCCCAGCTGCCCCAGCTGCCCCAGTTGCCCCCGGGCCATGCCCTGCAGAACAGAAGCGTCGGCGCCCCCCACCCCCACACCCAGGTCCACATACCTTCCTCTCACCCACTCCTTCAGGTGCTGATGTGAGCTCCTTCATGAGCACAGGATCCAGCACCTGGAATCTTCGGCGGAACTGAGTGAGCCCCATGTGGTCAGCGTAGCCTGCGGTGTGGGGAGCAGGAGAAGAACAAAGAATCCAAATGAGATGCCCAGCCCAGGGGTCTACTGCCAGTCTTGCTATTCACCTGCTGTGTGCACTCACTTCTCAGGGCCTCAGTTTCCCTGTTTGCTACTGTTTGACACTGGGTTCCATCACCATTTGCCAAATGAATTCCCCAGAACACAGACTCTGTAAGAGGCTCCACTGAAAGCTTGAAAATGCTGCCCCCTCCTCTGCCTCTTGGAAGGTCATGATGTGTATCAATACCAATGTCAAAGGCTCCAGAACCTCTGCAGGGACGATGCCTGATTGGCTTGGCTTAACCCAGATTTCTCCAAACATGCTGGGCCATGAGAAAATGTTTTGATCTAATAGTTTTTACCATCCTACAGAATGCACATAGGAAACACTGCATCAGGCCATATCTAAGGGTTCTTCTAAATCTAAAGTGTAGGATGCACACAGCTGCACCCTTCTGTGTAGAAACTGAAAAGCTACTGAGAGAAGGTGACGTTTGAGCTGGGCTTTGAGGGGCTGTGAGAGTCTGCGAGAGGATTCTGTGTGGAAGGAAGTCCAGACAGAGGGAGCCAGAGCAGGAAACAGAAGGTCTGTTCCACAGTCATGGTAACACCATTTACAGAGCTTTCAAGGGTGTAAGACACTAGGATAACAACTTCCTTGTTTCATAGAGACTCTGGGGCCTGTATTATTATCCCATTACATAGATGTGGAAACTGAGGACCGGCTGCCGGCTGCTCCCGGCTACTCTGCCCAGTACCTCGCGCCCAGGATTCAGTATGAGTGCAGTGGGAGGAGATGGGGCAGTGACCACAAGCTGGGGTGTCAGTGATCGAGGAAATATTAAACAAGTGGGAGCCCACCTAGACGCCCATCAGCCCCAGCCACCCCATCCCCTGACTTCGCCTGAGCTGTTCCTGTCAGGGAAGGGAATCCACAGGGTGGCTGACGGTGTCTCAGAGACAGAAAAAGAATGGGAAAATCTCAGAACAAACTCAGCTCAGAAGAGGAGCTAATGGGGGGGACCCTGGTGCACACCTATTTTCTAAAATATGGGTCTAACACTTCATCCCTTCGATGGAAACCCCTCCTCCCCCACCACGCCCATCACCTCCTCAGCTGGACCAGGGAAAGCCACTCTTCCAAAGGCAGTGTTAAGCCTCCCCGTGTGGGTCCACCCCTCCTCTCCCACCCCCACTCATCGTGAACCTGGAAACCCAGGCGCCCCCACACCTCCCTGCACACAGTGCTCCCCTGGCCACGCTTTCCCTCTCCCCGCACCACCCAGAGGTGAGCAGCTGGTTTCTTCTAAGACTCAATGAAGACGTTGCCTCCTCTGGGCACACGGTACCTCCTGCATCCTGTGTGACACATGCCCTGGTCATACCATACAATCATCACCCGTTTCCATATGGATCTCCCAAACCAGGCCGAGCTTCCTGAAGACCAAATATTAATCACTGAGGAAATTCTACCCTCAGTTCCAAGGCCAAGGGTCCTAAGATGTTTGCTGTTGAAAGGAAGATGGGCAAGACACACCCCAAGCCTTCCAGGTCACTGAAGCTATTGAGTCGCTCAATTGTGTCCAACTCTTTTGCCACCCCATCGACTATAGCCGACCAAGCTCCTCTGTCCATGGGATTCTCCAAGCAAGAATATTGGAGTGGGTTGCCATGCTCTCCTCCAGGGGGTCTTCCTGACTCAGGGATTGAACCTCTGTCTCCTGCATTGCAGGCAGATTTTTTTTTTAACCACTGAGCTACCAGGGAAGCCCAGCCTTCCAGGAGTGCAAACTAATTCAGGAACAGTTGGACTTGGGCTCAAAGAGCAAGTCCCAGGAGTTAGCGACAAGGTGCTTGCTCCCTGCTGGCCTCTCACCTGCTCTGTGCAGACGCAGCACCTCCAGGATGTAGGATCCTGCGAGCTGCACCCTCAGTGCGGGGATGTCCGAGGGGAGGGACCATCCCGCCTCAGGCTTGTCTCCACTGGGCTGTGGCGGAGTCAGAGACCCCTGCCCGCCTCTGCTCTCCACCGCTGCGCTTGGCACCAGGCAGTGGATGAAGTGTAACTGCGACCGTCTGATCACGCTGATCAACGCATCCTAGGACCAAGAAGAGATGGGGTCAGGGCCAGGGTGAGACAGACAGGGATCTGGACACTCCACAAACATACATTCAGTCCGGCCTGGGCATCTCTGGAGGCCCCTATGTCCTACCACAAGGGCCTCTCATCCATGGCCCGATGGATTTGTGCTCATGAGAAATAAAGGACCTCTATAATGATCCTTATTCTCATAGATGGAGAAACTGGGACATGGAGAGGACAAGTGAGTGGCTCCAAGCAGAGGGGACCAGTCACCCAAGAAGAAAACTAGAGCCCAGGACCTGGGTTGAGGGCTTTTCCAGGATAAGATGCTATGAGTTGTCTCCTCAAGCCCCCCTTCCCGAGTCTCCCCCTTCTGAGCTCAACCTAATCTCCTGTTACTGGATTACAGTGTCCAGGTGACATCTTCACACCAGTGCTGGGTCCAACCACTCTCTCTACGGGGACCCGAGAGGTGGACGTGCCGGTCTTTGAGAGGTGAGGGAGGGAGGCAGGCAGGACAGTGCTGGCTGCGATGCTTGTCACCTTGGTCAGGAAGGCGACCTGTTTCCTGCCAACTTCCTGAAGCTGCTCAGGTGAAACCAAGGAGCTGAGGCTTAGGCCTCAGACTGGGTTGGGTCACTGTGCTGCCCTGAGCCTCGGTTTCTTCCTCGGTGGAGCATGGGGGTTGGCTGCCTGTCCCTTCGGGCCCGCTGGGGAGCGCAGAGCTGGCGAGCCTGGATAACTTGCCCTGCAGGCGGGCAGGAGGCCCCCACCCTGTGGGAACAGCACCCCGCTCACCATCTGCAGCTTGATCTGGGAGCAGGGGGCTTTCCTCTTCACCGCGGCCAGGCTGCTGGCGAATGCCCTCCGCACTGCGCAGTTCCGCTGCTGGGCCTGCTGGGAGGTGCCCTCCAGGCCGGCCACGGCCCGGCACACAGGGGACAGCTTGGCCCGGGGCTGGAACAGGCTCCTCAGCTCCTCCCTGGCAGGTAGGCGGGGAGAAAGAGAGGGGCTTCAGGGGGCTTGGGGGCGAGTGAAGGGGACCCCCTTGCCTCTGGACATCTGCTTCCTGATACCATGTCCTAGCTGCCAAGTCTGTTCATAGTTCCTTCTGCCAGATGACCCTTTGTTCGGGGACAAACGCCAGCATCTTCCTCCATGCCTCTCTCCCTCTCCTGACCTCAAAGCATCTTCCTTCTACTGGATGTTCCCGTCACTTACATACCTGCAGGAATTCTACCCAGCCAGAACTTTCTTAGAGGGCAAAGTCATCTTGGTTATCTCTAGAATGGGTCTGGGCACGTCAGGTGCTTAGTCTGATTTGGGCACCAAGGAGACCTACCGAGCCCCAGGATGAAGCTGGGACCCAGGGAAGGCCTTGGGCTCTCTGGCTGCCCCAGCCTCTCTCCTCCAGTAGAAGCCTGTGGCGACTCCCCTGCAAATCCAGGCCCCACCCAGACCATCCCTCAAGACCCTCATCCATCCCTGCTCTGTGCCTAACTGACTTCACGGCTATTAAGAAAATGAGTCTTGCCAGATGCACTGAGGCTACTGAAAGCGGTTCCATGCCTTGCGGAGCACGCAGGCTAACAAAGGGGCAAAGATGCTCATGTTGCAACAAAAGTCTAGGGAGACAGCCTGGAGAGCCCCCTGGAAGTGGGAGCCCTGAGAAGGAAGGCTGTGGGTACCCCGTCTGGTACAGGGAGAGAAGGTGGTGCCCACAGCCCTGACCCTGCGTGAGGATGGCCCCATCTGTGGGCCCATCTGTGGCCCCATCTGTGGCGCTGGGAGACCCGGCCTCTGGTCTGCAATGTGTGGTGTGGCCTGGGGCAGTCACGGGTCCTCTCTGGACCTCCCGACACACAGCGCAAAGGTTGAGTGGGCATGAGCACCTCCCAGTAACCCCCCAAGCATCCCGAGAGACTAGACGGGCCCAGGAATCAAAAAGCTACACAAGCAGTCCTGGTGAATCGGGATCCTGATTGCAGAACCATAGGTTAAGAAGAAGTGCTGTCTGCCCTCAAACTCACCAACCTGTGGCTCTCAAGCCTGCAAGACACCCTGCTGGGATTTACTGCCACACCTGCTGTGCTCTGCCACCCGGGAGCACACACTGTTCCTTGTCTCAGAGAGTTCCACACTCCCCAAGACACCTGGCTAACCACGGTGTGCCCGCCCTTCCCCAACTCTACACCCCTCACTCAGCTTGAGGGTTTCTGAGCAGCAGGGCGATTTACAAGGAGGCCACAAGAGGTCTGTTGAGGGGTAACCATGAACCAGGTTCCTTAATAAGCCATCACACTCTGTTATGTCACCAAAGCCTTACATAACACTTGTAAGCTTGCAGCATCATTCCCATTTCTCAGACTGTGAAACTGAGGCCCAGGTCATGCAGCTTGAAAAAGGCAAAAGCAGAATCTGAGCATCTGCCTGACTTTAGAGCTGTGCAACATGGCCTCGTCCAACAAACCCTGAGGTTGCAGAAGAGGAAGCGAGAAACGCGGAGGAGGGAAAGAGGCTGCCCCCCGTCACCCAAGGGACACGGGGCTGGGCTGGGACTGGACTCAGGTCCCCCAGCTCCCCATACAGCACTCTGGGCTTGCTACCCTTCCTTCTGTCTGTTACCCTTCCCCTGTCCTCTGACTAGATCTCTCTCTGGGAGCTGTGCGCCCCTGAGCTCCCACTAGATTTTTCCAATCAACTCTGACCACGAGGCTCTGAGAACACCTTCCAAGGATAACTTATACCCAAATTGTATTCTGGCTCTACCACTCTTTGCTATGTGGTCAAATATGAACCACTTCACCTCCTGGGGCCTCAGTTTTCTCATTTATAAAATGGGGCTAGGGACACAGTTGTTGTAAGGATTAAAAAGACCCTTATAGGAACTTCCCTGGTGGCCCAGTGGCTAAAAGACATCGCTCCCTATGCAGGGGGCCTGGGTTCAATCCCTAATCAGGGAACTAGATCTGCATGCTGCAACTAAAGACACAGCACTGTCAAATAAACAAGTAAATGCGTGTGCATACACACATTCCCCCAACAAGCATTTCCAAAGGCTCTCTGAATTCAAGGCAGCCCTCTGCCAGCACGTCTGAGCAGAGCAGTCAAGAAATGCAGTTAGCTTTTTTTAGGCTGCAAAAAGTTATCACTTCGGTTTTATGATCCCCTAGTTGGAGGATGTCCATAAAAGTTCTTCCAGTCACATCATCTCCCAGATACTTAATGAAAGGCCAGAAGCCAGAATAAGAAGTCACAGCTTCCAAGCTTTTGTCCCACCTCCCCAGACGCCGGCTTCCTCCTTGGCTGGACTCGGGCCAGTCCCAGGAGATGCTGCGTCACTCCTGTCGAGTTACAGGTCTTCGTGTCATTAGGGAAGGGTCCCCGTAGTGGCCCTCCATCACTGACTGAGCTGCGGCGACTGCATGGCCCCAGCACCTCGAACGCCCCCCCGCCCATCCCCAGCCCTGGCTGGGCTCACCTGCTGGAATGCTGCAGGACCTGGGGGGCGTCCAGAGCTGCAAGGTTGGGTTTAGCCTTGTGGAGCCAGCCCGTGAGGTCATAGCGCACGGGGTCGTGTCCCAGCTGGTGGGCAATCTCGCACTGGAGGGGCTGCTCACAGGTCCGGAGGGCAGAGGTTCCTGCAAGCAGACACACGGCATGAGTGCTGGGGCCTGGGGCGGGGGTGGGGGGGACACTCTGTCATCGCTTGGCGCCGCTGAGAACACGCTGCTCCCATTTTAACATGATTCAAGCTATCGGTTCTGGGCACCATGTTTCCTCTGCTTTGTGCATTTACATGCACGGCTTCCAACCTGTATTCTGTTCCTCCTTGCTTCCTCTGTCAGTTTTTCTGATGTGGACTGTTTTTAAAGTCTTTATTGAATTTGTTACCATACTGTTTTACATTTTGGCTTTTCAGCTTGGAGGCATGCAGGATGTTAGTTCCCTGAACAGAGATCTAACTTCTGTTCTAACCCACGTCCCCTAGATTAGAAGGTGAAGTCTTAACCACTGGACCACCAGGAAAGCCCCTCTTCCTTGCTTTCTTAAATCTAAGATACCTGCATTCCCCAATTACCATTAACACATACCATCTTTGTGATTTTAGCCAGACCCGTGAATCACCTGGACTGTTATTTAATGTTTTTTTTTCAATCGGCTCAGTTTTACAGGTAAAATCCATTTGTAAAGAAGCATTATATTGCAGGTTTGGTGTGCCAGCTATATTTACTTTCTAATATTCATGGAAATAAATACACGATTATTAAATATTTTGACAATATGTGTAGATACCACTTAAAATTGCCTGGACTATCAGTTACCAAATAAACGCACAGCAAATTCTTGGAAGATGCTGGTGGATACCTGGTTCCAAGGGACAGTGGGAGAAATAAACGGGCTGGGGTTAGAGAAGGCCTGGGTTCAAATCCTGACCTGACCTTTTTTTATAGTGGGACAGGGGCCAAACCACCTAAACCTCTGAGCCTCAGTCTCTTCCTCCGCCCAGCGTGCACCTCAGATGAGAGGCAACAGCCAGTGAGCCCCACGTGTTCTGCTTGAGTGAACGTTCTCATTAACTCAGAGCTAATCGGAAAGCTCCAGAGGCAAAAAATAATTTTTTTAATACCAAAATGTCCGAGTTAATATGTCTATCAGTCAGTCCAGGACAAGAATCTCTCCCCTGGGACCTGAGAGCCTTCCCGTGTCTGGTCAGGTCTCACAGAGAGAGGAAATGGGCTGGGAGTCCTGCCCCCATCACACCCTACAGGATGCCTCTGCTTCTGGCCCTGCTTTCCGTGTCTTTAGCCTAAAACTCAGGATCCAGGAAACATTCCACTTGAGAACTCTGATTCACTCGATTCCGCATCACCAGTGAACTGGAGCAGAGCAGGGGAGGGGTGGGGAGGGGGCAATGGCAGGGGTCCACAGAGCCTTGCACCGGCCCAGGCCCTGGGCAGACAGCAGAGTCCAAGACAGGTACCCTCTGACCTGGGCGGGGGGAGAGTGCGTATAGGGAGGTCTTCGGGCTGATGAAAAGCAAGCCAAGAGAACAGGTTGCCAAACATCCCAGAAGGGGCCCTGAATGAGACGAGGAGGGCGTCAGGAAGGGACAGTGTGGCTACAGAGAGCACAGGGGTCAGCGAGGCCTCTGCGGAGGAGGGCCCAGCAGGGAGCCGAAGGAAAGCTTCTGGGTGCACCCGAGCCCCTCTGTCCTCGCCCCAGGCCCGGGAGTGTCACCATCTTACAGGCGAGGAAGGAGGTGACTTCCTACAACGCACACACATTGCAGCTAACTAGTGAGCACGGGTCCAACCCAGGACGCTCGGATCCAGTGCCTGGGTGGGCTTCTAACAGCTCTGTCTCCTGGCTTCCTGTGGGTCTGGGTGAGTTTCCTCCTCTACAGTCTGCAAGGAAGAAAATCATCATTCCAGAACCCTGGAGACATATCCTGAAGACAGGACCCAGAGGGCCCTGGTCAGTCATTGGGCCTCTCCTAGGTCCCAGGTACTCGCCAGAGGTGGGGTGTGGTGGTGCCCACATTGCCCGGCTCAGAATAAGGGCCTCACAAATAGCGGTTCCCACTGCCACTCCCGATGGCAGAGGCCAGCACCTCAGAAAACAGAGGTGACCTTCCGAAACAGAGAGGATCATGGGCAGGATCACTCCAAGCACTATGACCCCCACCTCCAGGGTGAGGGCAGTCCAGGGTCGTGTACATATATACAAGCACACAAAATTATATTTCATGACTATGTCAGTAGAAAGGAGGATTGACATTAATAATACATGAGTATATTATATTGGTTTGCTACAGCTGCCATAAGAAAGCATTACAGACTATGTGGCTGGAAGCCCAAGGTCAAGGTGTTAGCAGGGTTGGTTTCACTGAGGCCTCTCTCCTTGGCTTGCAGCTGGATGCCTTTTCCCTGTGTCTTTGTTTGTGCATGTATGTGTACTAATCTCTCCTCCAAAGGACCAGTCATGTTAAATTAGGACCCACCACAGTGACCTCCTGAGAAATCTGTATGCACGTCAAGAAGCAACAGTCAGAACTGGTCATGGGAAAACAGACTGATTCTAAATCAGGAAAGGAGTACGTCAAGGCTGTATATTGTCACCCTGCTTATTTAACTTAAATGCAGAGCACATCATGAGAAACGCTGGGCTGGATGAAGCACAAGCTGGAATCAAGATTGCCAGGAGAAATATCAATAACCTCAGATATGTAGATGACACCACCCTTACGACAGAAAGCAAAGAAGAACTAAAGAGCCTCTTGATGAAAGCGAAAGAGGAGAGTCAAAAAGTTGGCTTAAAACTCACTATTCAGAAAACAAAGATCATGGCATCCAGTCCCATCACTTCATGGCAAATAGATGGGGAAACAGTGGAAACAGTGAGAGACTTTATATTTTTGGGCTCCAAAATCAGTGCAGATGGTGACTGCAGCCATGAAATTAAAAGACACTTACTCCTTGGAAGAAAAGCTATGACCAACCTAGACAGCATATTAAAAAGCAGAGACATTACTTTACCAACAAAGGTCTGTCTAGTCAAAGCTATGGTTTTTCTAGTAGTCATGTATGGATATGAGAGCTGGACAGTGAAGAAAGCTGAGTGCCAAAGAATTGATGCTTTTGAACTGTGGTGTTGGAGAAGACTCTTGAGAGTCCCTTGGACTGCAAGGAGACCCAACCAGTTCATCTTAAAGGAAATCAGTCCTGGATATTCATTGGAAGGACTGATGCTGAAGCTGAAACTCCAATACTCTGGCCACCTGATGCAAAGAATCGACACATTGGAAAAGACCCTGATGTTAGGAAAGATTGAAGGTGGGAGGAGAAGGGGCCGACAGAGGATGAGATGGTTGGATGGCATCACTGACACAACGGACATGCGTTTGAGTAAGCTCTGGGAGTTGGTGATGGACAGGGAAGCCTGGCGCACTGTAGTCCATGGGGTCGCAAAGAGTCGGACACGGCTGAGTGACTGAACTGAACTGAAGAGTGACATTAGTTAAACTTACTTACCTCTTTAAGGACCCTGTATCTATACAAAGTCCCATTCTCGGGTGCTAGGGGTTAGAAATTCAACATATGAATTTTTGAGGAGGGGGAATACAGTTCATTCCATAACATATACTTAAAACACGTATTTGCCTGCAAGTCCATTTTTTTTTTCTTCTACTTTTAACAGAAATTAAAAGATTGTCGTGGACCCCTAAGAGTACCGTGGGCCCCAGACACAGCCCCCGCTGGACCCAGGCAAGTCACTGCAGAGCCAAGCTCTTGGGAGCCACGCAGGTACTAATGTTCCGGGTGTGGTCCCGGGAGATCGGCTGGAGCCACCAGGTGCAGGAGCGCTCCACATGTGTGCCGGACAGAGGCTCCAGCCCAGCAGCACTGAGCGCTGTCCACGTCTTTCTCCAGCTCCTCCCCCAGTGTCTCACAAGCCACCCCAGTCAGAAGGTCACCCCAAACACTCCCATCAGAGCTGCACTTCTCTCGGTGGCCAGGGACCTCCATGCAGCCAAGTCAAGGCCATTCTTCAGACATGCCTCACTCAAACTTTCAAGCAGCATTTAACTCGGTCAGTCTGTCTCTCCTCCTGAGGCTTCCAGAACGCCACACCCTCCCATCCCTCCTCCAATATCCTGGCCACTCCTCCCCAACTACCTGTGCTGGACACAAGCCTTGTCCCTGGAAAGGCCCAGGGCTGAATCCCTGCCAACCTTCACTCCTTTAGTGATCCAAACTAGAACTGTGGTCCTCAATGCCTTCTTATAGATTTTGGGTTTTTTTCTTTATCATCCATCTCCTCTGCTAGAATGTCAGTCCCTCAGGTGGAGATTTTTGTTTTGTTCACAGATGTATTTCCCAGCCTACATTTCAGGTGCTCCAGAAGTATTTCTTGAAGGCACCAGTGAATGAACAAGCCCACAGTCTGACCGCCATGTCAGGGGGGACCTGGAAGACCCCACAGTGCATTTGTCTTCTTACATGACAGGGGGCATCCGGGTGGAAGGGGGCTCACTCGAGGCTGAGAGGCAGACATGGCTTGTGTTGAATCTGACTTCTGACATGCCCTGTCAGGGTGATCACAGACATGCGTTCTCTACAAGCCTCTCTCTGGAGCGCACTTTCCTCAGTCCGTAAGAATACGGACTTCTAAATATGGGAGAGAATTCAACCAGACATTCTACACAAAGCCCTGAGCTCGGCCCCTGCATGGAGTGCACACAGCGTTCCTCCAGCCCCTGAAAAGACGGGGATGATATTCTTCGTTGTATCACAGCCTCGGCCTCGTCAGTAACAACTGCAGCACTTGGCAGCTGATGACCAAGCTCTGCAGGTACGTCCCCTCACCCCACCATGGCAGTAGAAATTCTGGAGAGAAGGCAGCCAGGGCGAGCTCCATCTCCTTTGTTCAAACTGCCGTGAGACTGGCTTGGTGCCCACGTTGGTGGAAATACGAATAGATGGACTTGAACTTAAAACTGATGGATGCCAAACACCATGGCCTCTGAACTCACTGTTTCAGCTCCAAGTGTCCACTCCCTTGCACTTCTCCTCTCCCCAATCTGGCCCATCAGCCAGTGCTCAGCAACTCCAGAGGCTGCCCACCTCCCTGGGGAGGCGGCTGCTCTCACCTCCCGGCTGCCTTCCTCTCGTCTCCACAGTGCAGTCTGGGGAGCCCGAATCTGACCACAGCTCCCACTGCCTAGAATCCCGTGTGGCTTCTCAGTGCTCCTGGGTCAAAGCCGAAGTTTTCTGTGAGGCCTGCCAGGGCCGGAGGTCTGAGCCCAGACGACGTCTCCCTGCTTGTCCGGCACCGCACGCCTGGCTCTCCGTCAGATCTACCTGCAGGCCTCTCCCCTGAGAGCCCCCAGCTGCCGGAGAACTGAGGCCCGCCTGACGCCCACCACCGACCCCCAGTCTGCCATCTCAGATTCAGCAGACACACACGTGCTTGTGTATCAGCTTGTCGTCTCCCACCGCTGCCTCACCCCCAGCACGGACAGGGGTCCCATCAGGCCGCGCGCCTCCGTGTAGATTAGAGCCTGCTCAGAACACGTGATGGATACGTGAATGAATGAGCACACGAATGAATGAAGGCACCCCCAGGCAGGTGCAGAGCCTCCCCAGCGCAGGCCTTCTCAGGGCTTCGAGGAAGACAGACTCCAACTCCCAAGCTGGCCTCGGCAGCCCCCACCCCCCTGGCTCCCTCCCTCACCTCCAGCTCCAGCTCCTTTCTTCTCAGAGGCGGCACAGAGGCGCTCGAGCACCACGCTGTCCTGGGAGCCCTCCACCCGGACCTCCTCATCCAGGATCCAGAAAAGGCCCCTGGCGTCCTCGGCACCTCCTCCGGCTGGCAGGCGCACCTGGCGGGAGATCCAGGATATGCTGCAGAGCCCCGACCCCCTGTCAGAAGCCAGGCCTGGGCTTCTTGTCCCACCTAGGGAATCGGGGGTATGTGGCCCAGCATCACGACTCAGACATGCTGATCTGGACCCACGCTCCCGCTCACCCCCAGACTCTCAGTGAAGAAGCCACAGAACTACCAATCTTTTGGTTACAAAGGTCTGGATCCTCCCTCTGTCTTCATCTCCTGGATGACCCTGGGCAACTTACTGCCACTCTCGGAGCCTCATCTTTCCTTCCACAAGATGGAGACTGAGAACACTGTCCTCCAAGGTGAGGATTTAACCAGAGCGAGCTCTCTGTACACCACACACCTCTGGCTCCACACTGGCAGCTGACCTCTTCATGCACAGCCTAACATGGAAGGATCAATCCCATCCCCATCACTTCCTCTTAGAAGTATTTGTATTAAAATCTTGAGAGGAAAAAGGCACCAAGAACATCTAAGAAAAAGTGAACTTGCCTCAACCACACTGACGTGAAATTTTAAATCCAGCGCCAGCATCAGAGACCCTCCAGGCAACCCTGCATCTCTGCACGTGGGAAACGGGGAGAGGCCTGGGGATCTGCGGGGCTTATCCGAGGGCCCCCAGTGAGCTAACGCACCTGAACATGGTGGTTAAAAAGGAAAGGCGATGTGTATGATGGCCAATGGTCCCAGTGTACCCAGGGTTAGGGGCTTCCCAGGATATGAGGATTTCAGCGCCAAGGTCAGCAACATCCCTGGTAAACCAGGACAGTTGCTCACTCTAACACAGGAATATCAGTCCACACCCCACTGAGAGGGGTCCAGCGAGGGGAAGGGACACGTCCAGGGTCACGTGGAGAGGCCCAGGGCAGAGGTGGACCTGCCCCCGGGATCCTGAGTCTTCACCTTGGCCTCACTTGCTGGAGCTGAAATCTACATCCAGCCCCTCCCAGCTGTTCCAGCCTCTGCCCAAGAGGCCTGGGGACACCAGGATCTTTTCCTCCTCACACTGTCTCGGTGGTCCCTCAGGCCCGCCCCTCCCAGGGAGGGAGGAAGCAGGACAGGGATGGGGACCCAGCCCGAGAGGCGCCGGGGGCAGCAGAAGCAGCCGTGAAGGGCCGGCAGGGCTCACGGTCGAGAGGGCTTTACAGGACAAGGTGCAGCCCGCTGCGAGCCGAGAAACCAGGGAACCAGGAAAAGGTGTCCAAGCGCAGGAGAAACGTGACCAGCAGGCCACCTGCTGGGTGTCACCCACCCTGTGGGTCTGTTTGTCCCAGACCTCACGTGTGTTCAGGACAACCCAGTGGTACTGTCGTTCCCATTCGGGTGATGAGAAAGCCGAGGTTCAGAGTGAAGTGACGCGCCCAAGGTCACCAAGATCAGATCTGAGCCTGGCAAGTTCCACGGCCTGAGCCCTTCCTTTTACAGCAGGTTGGAGGGAGTTGGGGGCGTGGGGCAATGAGGGAGAGCAAATTCCAGTGTGACGGTCACGGACCGCTCTGAGAGAGGGCTGAGCAGAGCAGTAGATCAGGGGTCAGCACAGTGGGTTCTGGGGCAGGGGGAGAGGGAGGCAAAGACTCAGGGATCTCCCAAACTAAAGTTCGTCTGCCTCCAGGGAGCTCAGGGGCCTGGATCCAGCATCACCCCCGTTCTCCACCCCCAGGGGCCCCTGCTGTCCCAGTCTCTGCTGGGCTCAGCATCTTCGCCTGAACACCTGATCTTTCCAGGTGACAGCGCCTGGAGGCCACCGTGTACCAGCCCTGGAGTCCCCCGGCTCCATCCACAGGCTCCAGGCATGAGTGCGTTCTAATGCAGACTCAGACTCTCAACCTGATGGGACTGAGATGCTGGTTGCCCAGGCCACAGCCTCAGACCAGTCAACACAGAATCTGGGAGGGGGTCCCCAGAGTCAGTGTTTTGAACAATCCTTGGGTCATTTGAGGTGTGAACAGAGCTGTGATCTAGTAGCTCAAAGACTCCAATCTGCCAGTATTTCGATAAAAAGCCCGAGAGGCATCTGAGAGCCTTGGTTCACAGGGCCCTGTGTTACCTGTGAGGGAGTCTGATCCACCAAGGCCACCGTGGTCCCCGGGCATGACTCCGGGAGGTCAAACTGCACAGGAACATCTTCCTGGAAAGTCACACAAGTTCAGTGTTAGTTCCTTCTGCGAGCTGGAGGGGAAGAGACTTCTGGAGGAGGTTTAAGAGAAGTGAGAGTTTTAATCATCACACCTTGGCCTCTTTTTATTGTTATTTTTAATCGTGGTAAAATGCACATGGCATAAAATTTAACACTTAAACTATTTATCTATTTGGTGGTGCAGTGTCTTAGTTGTGGCACGAGGGGTCTGGTTTCCCTGTCCTCGCCACGTGCTGTGCTCAGTCATGTCTGACTCTGTGACCACATGGACTGTGGCCTGCCAGGCTCCTCTGTGCATGGGGATTCTCCAGGCAAGAATACTGGGGTGGGTTACCATGGCATCCTCCAGGGGATCTTCCCGAACCACGGATGGAACCCAGGTCCTCCGCACGGCAGGTGGATTCTTTACCGTCTGAGCCACCAGAGAAGCCCCTAGTCCCTGACCAGGGACGAAACCTGGGCCGTCGCATTGGGAGTGTGGCGCCTGAGCCTCCGGACCCCCAGGGAAGTCTGCATTTAAATCATTTTTTAAGCGCACATTTCATCGGCATAAGGCACATCCACATTTTGTGTAACCTTCACCACCATCCAGCTCCAAAACTTTTCATCCTGCAAAACTGAAACTCGGCACCCAGTGAACACAGGCTCCCTGTTTCCCTCTCCCCGTTTCTGTCTGTGAATGTGGCCAGTCTAAGCATCTCACATGAGCAGAATCGTACAGGATTGTTCTCCTGGGACTGACTTCCTGCACTGAGCATAGTGTTCTCAAGGTTCATCCAGTCACAACATGTGTCAGAATGTCCTTCCTCTTTATAGTTGAAGGACAGCCCTTTTTATGAAAACATCACATTTGTTTACCCATTCATTCACTGATGGACACTTCGGGTGCTTCCACCTTTTGGCTATTACGAGTAATGCTGTCATGAACATGAGTATACAAATCTCTCTTCAAGACCTTGCTTGGAATCCTTTAGGGTAGATACTCGAAGTAGAATTTCTGGATCAAATTGTGGTTCTATTTTTAATTTTCTGAGAAAACACCATACTGTTTTCCACAGCAGCTGCACCATTTTTTATTCCCAGCAGTCCACATGGGTTCCAGCTCCTCTACATCCTCCCCCAGCAGTTCTTACTTTTTGTTATTTTTCAATCTAGTGGGTGTGAAATGGTATCTCAATGTGGTTTTGATTTGCATTTCCCTAAACTGGTGATGCTGAACATCTTTTCATGTGTTTATTGGCCATTTGCTTTTCTTTTTTGGAGAAATAGCTATTCAATTCCTTTGCCTGTTTAAAAACTTTCTTAATTTATTTATCTTTGGTTGTGCTGCATGGACTTTTCTCAGTGGTGGCAAGCAGGGGCTACTTTCTAGTTGTGTGGGCTTCTCACTGCAGTGGCTTCTGTTGCAGAGCATGGGCTGTAGGGTGTGCGGGTTTCAACAGTTGCACCTTCCAGGCCCTAGAGCACAGGCCCAGTAGACATGGTGCACGGGCTTAGTTGCTCTGAGACATGGGGGATCTTCCCAGACCAGGGGCTGAACCCATGCCTCCTGCATTGGCAGCTGGATTCTTTACCATTGAGCCAACAGAGAAGCCCTTTGCCCATGTTTAATCAGGTTCTTTGTTTTTATCCATTTAGCCTTCGTACAAGAAGAAAGGATACAGGATCCATAGAGCATCCTAATATTGTCTATCCTGCAGGGTTGTCAGCAATCCTGGTGAGGTTATCAGGAACCGATGACTCAGCGCAGACTCTTCTAATATTTACTGAGCACCCAATAAGTGCTGGGCTGAGTGCCAGAGAAAGCAAACAAACTCTGGATAATAACAGCTGGCATACAAAAGTAATCAGAAATGTCCAGACCATGCTATATTCAAAGATGTTCATCACAGTGTTGTTTAGAACAGCATAGATGTGGAAATCTCCCATGCAAACTCCAGGAGATGGTAAGGGACAGGAAGTTTGGCATGCTGCAGTCAATGGGCAGTCATGTCTGCAAAGAGTCAGACACGACTTGGCTATTGAACAAATGTGAAAATCACCCAGGGGTCCAAAGGAGAGCTGAGATAGAATCAGACATAACCGGAGACATGCATCCTTTCTAAGAGCTGTGAATGGTGGGAGGCAATGTGAACAACATAATGCTATGAGGAAAAAGCAAACAACAGAATGGTATACAGATGGACGCGAAATCTATAGAGAAGACCATGCATGGGAAAATGGCTGGTGTAAGATACTGATAGAGGTAATAGTGGTTGCCTCTGGGTGTTGGGGTAAAGGAGATGGTATTTTCTGCTTCTGGACACTTATTGGCACTTGCCAGTTTTTAAATAAAGAACATGTTTTACTTTGATCATAAGAAATAAAGTGAAATACTATGGGGAAAAATATGATGGATGCTACCACATGTGGAATGCCTAATACAGATTAGGCATTTTCTAGACCACTTCATCAAATGTTCACAGCAGTGTCTTTAGGAGGTGTGGTAACACCGGGGAGGGGGGAGGGAGTAGATGCCAGGGGCAGCTGGGGTGCTGGGATACTCTCCTCTCCCCTGGGTGGTGGCTGCGTGAGTGTGCTCAGCTGGACAAATTCACCAAGCTGTACACTCTGGATTTAGGCACTCGTCTGTGTAAATGTTAGAGTTCAATTTAACGTTTTTTTTTTTTAACATAAGTAAAGGCAGGCATGCAGGAACGAGCCTGAACAGGTTTCCGGATTCACATGCAGAGCCTCCTTGGAGGGGTGCTGCATATTCACTTCTGCTGGATGCTCCCATGTTATGATTCAGAGACTGTGCAAACTCACAATTTTCACCCGCAGCTGGGCATGAAGGGCCTTCCACGGAGAAGGTGCAACCTAACTGCTGGAGAACGGTTCAGCTTGGGCATGTGGGTGAGGAGGGACTGATCAGCCCAAACAAGGGACAGTTGTGGGCACGAGGCCGGAGGAGCCCCAAGTTCTGAACTGTAAGAGAACTCTAAGAGGCCATGGGAGACAGACGGAGATGGGGGAGGAGCACAGGCCCCGGCAGCCAGGCCTGGAGCTTGGGTTTTAATCAGTGCTGGACCAGACAGCATGAAGCTAAATCCAGTGTGAGCACTAGAAGCTGCAACCCAGCCCAGCCATACCTCCCGGAATCGCTCCAGTGCCGAGACGAAGGTCCGCTGGTAGAAAAGCAGCTGCAGGCGCTCATGAACGTAATTGTGGCATAGCTCCTCGAAGGTGGCGGCCCGGTCTTTGCCCTGGTGCCGAGGGTTCTGAAAGCCTGCAGAGTCCACCACCATAATGGAGGCCATGGAGAGGTGGTGGGAGGAGAAGGATCTGGGGGGGAAAGGAGAGGGGCCCCAAGAGCACATGGACTCTTAGAGCCCTTCTGGTCCAGGCCCCCCGCTCCCCCATCACAGAGATGGAGAAACCAGGGCAGCATGCTGGGCAGGTCTGCGGACCCAGCAGAAACCACTACTTATGGGTTGTGTGACTTTGGGAAAGTTACTTAACCTCTCTGAGCATGGGTTTCCCCCAATGTTAAATGGTGGGAGGGATGAATAGGAAGACCCAGGGGCTGCAAAGGGAAAAAAAAGGAGCTGAAGAGTGGAACGCGCCTCCCTTGGACACTGCAGGCCATCAGGACACATGCTCTCTCCACCAGACCGAGACTGGAGAAAATATTTGCTTAAGGCTGCACCACAAATTTGCTATAACGTTAGGACTAGAGCCTCCTTTTCTTTCTTAGTGACACGTGGCATCAGAAAAACAACTTTGTTCAGTATCTGCCTCGGTTTACAAAGTTCTCTCAAGCTTCACCTCCCTGGATCCTCTTAACAAATCTATGAGGGTAGATGGACAAGGGACTATTCACATCAAAAACAAAGAGTTAAGAGACTCTACAGAGTCACATGTGGGTTCCAACCCTCACTCAGCCACAGAGGGGCTGTGTGTCTTGGTAGAGTTGCCCAACCTCTCTGAATGTCCGCCGAGGAAGGGCTAATGATGGAGATGAACTCAGAAGGCTGGTGGAAGGGCTGGGTGTGATGAGACATCCATGGCTCTGAACCTGGTAAGTGCTCAGTGGTTTCTGCTGTTATTCCCATCAGCATGAGCAGTTATATGCTTTGGAGAGTCCTAAGTTTGAAATCAAGCACTTCGCTCTTCTTTGCTAAGGTTTTCCATCTGTAAAATGGGGCCTTATACACACCACACAGACACGCGTGAAGATTAAGTGAGTTAATGTTCAAAAAGCCAGATGCCTGCTGGGTGCTCGTAAATGGCAGGACAGGAGAGTGCTGTCATCACCAATACACCCATTTCCCAGATTCGGGCTCCCAGAACCCCAGAGCCAACCAGGAAGCAGCCACCCGCTTCCCGCAATTCACGGATAAATGCTTCTTCCCCTGAGCATACATGATCCCCTGGTTTCTAGATGATGTGTCTGTGATCTCAGAGGGTAATTACTCCAGCAGGAAGAGAGGGAGCCGACTCTACGTCCACAGAGAACCGCAACTGCGCTGTTGCTATGCACCAGCCTCACCCCTTGAACAGGATGTCGAAGCCTAATTACGCCTCCCGCTTACACGGAGGAGGGGGGGAAGCCCTTGTGCAAGCTCTGGATCGGCCCCACTGGAACTGCTGAGATTTCCCAGGGTTCAGAGCGGCACTCCCCATGACAGAGAACACATGCTCCCAGTAGCAGTACCTGCCGATATCTGCAGTGTTTTATGACCACAATTTAGGAAGAGTTGTTCACAAACATTTTTTAATTCATCTTTCATTTTTTATTGATTTCTTATTAAATTTATTTTTATTTATTTATTTCTTAGCTGTACCACGTGGCATGCAGGATCTTAGTTCTCTGACCAAGGACTGAACTCATGCCCTCTGCAACAGAAGCATGGATTCTTAGCCACTGGACCACCAGGGGAGTCCTTTATTGACTTCTTTTAATCTTTGCAGTGACCCTGGGGAGCAGACCTATTGAATATTTCACAGATGCACAAGGGGAGGTCAGAGAGGTGAACTGATTTGCCAAAGTCACACAGCCCATGGGTGGCCACGGTAGAACTAAAGCCGGCACCATCCAGCTCAAAAGCCCACTCTCCAGCTCAACAGAACCCCACTCTGCTGAACTCCCCAGGCTTGGGCTCCTTCACGTGCTGCAGAGAGACCACCTCTCTACCAGGGCGAAGGCTGCCGTTACCTGTTGATGAGAGAGACCACGGCGGCAAAGACCTCTTGGTACAGGCCGGAGGCCATGCCCTCCACGCACTCTACGCCGGTCATCTTGAGCCCTGCAGTGCGGAAGAGAGGAGGGTGGGCATCCCGCGGTCAGGACCTTGCCTGGAGCCAGGGATGTCACTGCAGGCCCCAGAGAGCCTTCCACCACACACACACATTACCCTGCTGCTGAAATTACTCATGTCTTTAGGATCAAGTTCAAGGGTCGTGTCAGGTCCTCCAGGGTCCTGTGTGGCCTGACCCTACCTCTCCTCCACTGTGATCTCCTGGTCATCCCTCAGGGCTCAACCCAACGTCACCTCCTCAGGGAAGCCTGCCATAACCACTGCCACGAACCATCCGGCCAACTCGCAGGACTATCTTGCCTTTTTAAAAATAAGTTCTTTACTTCTATTCTATGGAGGTAGATGGTGATTGCAGCCATGAGATTAAAAGACGCTTACTCCTTGGAAGGAAAGTTATGACCAACTTAGACAGCATATTAAAAAGCAGAGACATTACTTTGCCAACAAAGGTCCGTCTGGTCAAGGCTATGGTTTTTCCAGTGGTCATGTATGGATGTGAGAGTTGGATGGTGAAGAAAGCTGAGCACCGAAAAACTGATGCTTTTGAACTGTGGTGTTGGAGAAGACTCTTGAAAGTCCCTTGGACTGCAAGGAGATCCAACCAGTCCATCCTGAAGGAGATCAGTCCTGGGTGTTCATTGGAAGGACTGATGCTGAAGCTGAAACTCCAATACTTTGGCCACCTCATGCGAAGAGTTGACTCATTGGAAAAGACCCTGATGCTGGGAGGGACTTGGGGCAGGAGGAGAAGGGGACAACAGAGGATGAGATGGCTGGATGGCATCACTGACTTGATGGACATGAGTTTGAGTAAACTCCGGGAGTTGGTGACGGACAGGGAGGCCTGGCGTGCTGCGATTCATGGGGTCGCAAAGAGTCAGACACGACTGAGCGGCTGAACTGAACTGAACTGAACTGATGCCCTTTTCACTGCTAAAGACACTGAGGGTCAAATGGCACTGAGTTAGGTTAAGTCTCACGGGGCTACTTGGAAAGTAAATGGTGTTTGCAGACTCCCTTATTATTATCATTGTTGTTATTATTATTTTTGACTGTTACATGCAGCATGTGGGATCTTAGTTCCTAGACCAAGGATTGAACCCATGACCCTGGTACTGAAAGTAGTCTTTACCCACTGGACCACCAGGGACATCCCCTTGCTTTTTTGAAAAATTTACTTTTCGAACTGAGATACGATTGACATACCAAAAAATCTGTACATTTTTAATCATACATCCTGATAAGTTTGAAGCATAAATTCATGACATCATCACCATAGAAACAACATAAACATAACCATCACATCTGAAAGTTTCTTTCCTCTGTGTGTGTGTGTGTGTGTGTGTGTGTGTGTGTGGGTGGGTGGGTATGTGTGTGTGTCTGTGAGAGAGGAAGAGAGAGGAACTTTCAACATAAGATTAACAGATTTTTACATACAGAATACATTACTGTAAACTACAGGCACTCCCTTGCACAGTGGAGATATTCATCTACTGACCACTTTATTTGCCTGTCCTCTAGGGTTTTTTCATCTTGACTAAATGAAACTATGTACTCTGTGATAAAATGTCTCATTTCCCCCTCCCTATACCCCTGTCCCAGCAACCACCATTCTACTCTGTGTCTGTATAAGTTGGACTACTTTAGATTTCTGATGTAAGTAGTATATTATTCAAAAGTAAAAAAAGAAGGACATCCTATCATTTGCACCAAGACGGATGAACCCGGAGGACGTTCTGCTGAGTGAAGTGAATGAGCCACCGGAGGACACACGGACCCCGGTTTTATGGCACTGGCCACAGCTCATCTTTACTTTCTGGTTATTTTGTTAGTCTGTGTCTCCCACCCCGCCCCCCACTGGGAGCGCCCCAAGGATGGGGACTGATTCTGAGTTTGTTGGCTCCGAATTCCAATTTCTGACACACAACAGTTCCTCAGCAAATATCTGTTCCCTCTTTCTAGGGGGAAATTTGGCAGTTTCACAGCAGAAGCCATAACATGTTCATGCTCTTGGACTTAATAACTTTACCCTTAGGATTTTATTGTAATGAAATATGCAGAGAAACAAAGATTTCTAGGTATATACATTCTCCCAATTGTTCATTAAATTGGCAAAAAATCACTTTTTCAAGACAACTTGAATACCCAACAAATAGCAAATGGGATAGATAAATTGTAGTCTAACCATATAATAGAATACTTCAAGTCAAGTCTAGAATAATACTGAATGAGACGGAAAAGTGCCTGCATATAGTGTTAGGAGGAACAAAAAAACTTAGAAAACTATTACAATGGTGGCCTCAATTTTGTATAAACACACACGGGCCCCATTAGCACAGCCAGCCTTGATTAAGGGGTACTGAGCAGAACGGGGTAAGGAGTGGGGCTCGCATCTCAAATACTGGCCCTTAGGTTTTGGTTCCAGCCATGGAATTAGAAACACAGTTTGCAAATCTGCAGGCCTTAGGGCCTGGAGAAATAGTTTTGCTTGTACATTCCAGGCTGCCTGCTGCAGCCCCAAAGCATTTCCCGTCCCTGCTTTAACTCCACCTGCAACCTGGGTCGTTGCTAGGCAACCCACAGTCTCCCAGCATCACTCTCAAGCCTGCTGGTTCCCTGCCTGCTTAACATCTACCCTTGAGACCTCAGCCTGCGAGGCTGACTCAGCTTCACACAGCAGTGCATACACGTAACTGTGCTTGTGTGTGTGTGTGTGTGTGTGTACATACATGCGCTGTGTGAACCTGTGTGCTGTGCCTGTGATAGCGCAGGTGTGTGCGCACGGCTGTACATGGTACAAGTGTGTGCCTGTACCTGTGCAGCCGTGTCAGAGAGGAGGTGTGACTATTAGACAGAGCCCAGCTTACACCAGAGCGCAGAACTGGATGGCAGTGAAGTCTATGACATCAGCCTTCAAGCTGAAGTCCCTGGCAGGTGGAACAGCCCTGTGGATCCCAGGGACCTCTAACAGATGGTGCTGAAACCACAGTTCAAAACAGTGCTACCCGCTAAGCCCAGACTCTGCAGTCTCCAGAGAGCTCCTCTTGGAGAGTTCTCAGAGATCCCCGGGGCTCTGAGGGGTCCTCTGCCCTCACCTTCTGCAGCCGAAGCATCCAGTCGCTGAGGCTGCAGGCCTGGGACTCAGCAGACCCACTCGAGCAGGTGCAGTGTAACTGTGCTCCTGCCTGCCCCACTCCATGTCAGTTCAAAGCACCCCCATTCCTCCAGCTGCTCGGACTCGAGTCCTAGAAGGTGTCCTGGCCCCGTGCTTCTTCCAGGGTTCATGCCAACAGCTCTGACTGTAAACTAGACCTTGAACTGGTCCATCTCCACCCATCTGGTCCACCCTGTTCTTTGTCCAGCTTCCATTACCTCACGAGGGTGACCTGTATCAGTTCCCACCCACTTCTTGCTCTCCATCCAGGCTGAGCTTCCCGCAGAATAAACTAATCATGCCATTCTCCTGCTTGTGTTCCTCCATGGCTTCCCTCAGCCTGAAAAGAAAACCCCATTTATAGACTATTTTGTGAGCTCTCTAACCTTATTTACTGTCCTCAGCTACTGTCCTCCCCTCCAGACCAACCATCCTGGCCTTATTTCTGTTCTGGCAGGTGAGTCTTCCAGCTACAGAGTAGGGGCTCAGCGAAGACCACATCCAGTGGAAATGCCATGGCCCCTTGGCACCATCCTTAATGCCCCCCCTTGGCAGCACAGGGCTCTCCTCCCAGGTTTCAGCAGCCTCTGACCCTAGGACAGAGCACTGTGCAGGAAGGGGCCAAGACCATTTCCAGAGAAGCAGCTTCTTTTGCACCTAGAAGGTCTACATACAGTAGACCCTCAATAAATCCTTGACGAATAGTGAAAGGATGCTGGTGTGTCCCCAGAGGGTGGCTCCGCAGGGACCCAGTCCACCCAGGGAGGCCGCAGTATGGTACCTGAGCTGGCTGCCTCATCCTCCAGGCTCCGGCGGCTCGGCCCAGACGTCACCTGCTCGATGATCTGCCGCAAGTGGTGCTTGAAGGTGGCCGTGTTCAGGGCCTCGTACTCGCAGCCCAAGGCCTCTGCTGCGTGGCTGGCCCACTCAAAGCGCATGAACTGCTTCCGGCCCACTGCACGGGGGGCAGAGCAGAGGAGGGCGGTGAGGTCCTGGGCGGGTGATGGGTAGGCGTCCAAGAAAACCTCAGAGAATCTCGCCACCTCCCAGCCTCTGGGCCACCCACCCTCAGCAGGAGCCTGAACAGCTGAGGCCTGGGCCCAGCTGATGGCCTCGGGCAGGAGCCCGCCTTCCCAAGAGACATGTTTGTCCGACTGCCCTGCCATCTGCATTGTTCACTTTTCCAAAGCAATTAAAAATATCATCCTCTTTATGGGCTATTATAATGCCACTTAACATCAGCAACAAAGCCTATACAACACGGGCAATACTTATATGGTAACGTTAAATGAAAAGGACTGGAAAAAATCATACCGTAGTAAGGCATCAATTGTGTAAATCACTCTAAGCTGCTATACAAATAAGGAAAAGGAGATATATTCAAACATGAACAATCACAGGGGAGGGGGAGTGTGTATATTTCAAACTTTCTGCAGTGGTTCTGTACTAATTTTGTAATCCAGATTTTAAAAATTAATAATTTATTAAGGCAAACCACAGTTCCACTCTTAAAATAATTTTCTCCCATCTCCTATCTTCCTATATCTGTGTTTCTTTGAAATAAGAATCACAGCTGCCAACAGAGACTTCTCAATCCATCAGAAAGAGATCATAAGGGTATCATTCTTCAAACAGACATCTTAAAGAATCTGCCTGGCTTAAGAAAAATTTAGAAGTTTGGAAAAAGACTTTATTTGGGGCTTTGACAATATCCACCTGGAGAGGGTTGCCATTTCCTTCTCCAGGGGATCTCCCCCACCCAGGGATTGAACCAAGGCCTCATGCATCGCAGGCAGATTCTTTACCACCAAGGAAGCCCAAGAAGAAGGAGCACAGGCCACTGTTTATCAAGGTCCTCCTACACGCCAGTTACTCAGTGCTGATTCAGGAACATCACTTTATTACCTCCATTTTAGAAATAATTCCCATTTTACATATAATAAAACTGAGATCCAGAGAGGTTACATGGCTAGTAAAAAAGTTCTGCCACTTTAAAAAAATGATCAGGAAGGTAAGAACAATGATGGTGATCATGTGGTGAGGATGGTGGAGGGGACAGTGTGATGACGGCGATGACAGTAATGAGAGTGGTAACAGTTGCCACTCACTGACCCCATTTAGTTCAACATGTCATCTTTGTTCAGCTCATGGCTTCTGGAGTCAGAACATCTGTCTTAAGAGTTCCAGGTGTGACACACAAAAAAATCAGTACATACAAAATTTAACTACTTATTATACTCCCAAAAGCAGTATCATTCCTATCTTACAGATGAGAAAACTGATTCAGAAAAGTCACCAGAAATCAGGCTAAGTGGAAGAACTATTTCCCCAAAATCAACATGGACTGGAGCCCGCCAGGCTCCTCTGTCCATGGGATTTTCCAGGCAAAAATACTGGAGCGGGTAGCCATTCCATTCTCCAGGGGATCTTCCCAACCCAGGGATCAAACCCATGTTTCCTGCATCACAGGCAGATTCTTTACCATCTGAGCCACCAGGAAAGTTCCTTTCAATATCACCTTGAGAATATTACAACCCTAGGTAAGACTTTCTTTGATGTGGAATCACTGATCTTTTCACTTTCCATAAGTACCTAGTGAAAGGAAATGTTATATAGCACTATCTTAAATGAAAACCCATTTTTTGTAGGAGGTCACTGAGAGGGTGTGACAACCGGGTGGCCTTTGAGCTGGCCCTGGGCAAATGGAGGGGCCTCACCCTTTCTCCTGCCCTTGGAATGTCCACCCAACTCCTCCCCACTCCCACAGCAGGGACTGGTACAAGGACGCAGCCTTGAGACAGCAGGGTGCTTCTGAGACCGTCCAGAAGGGCTCTGTGACCCAGCCCAGTTCCGGCCTCTCTATAAACTCTTAAGACTTGGGCGGGCAGGGGTGGAGATCCACCCACCGTGCAGCGCCCGAGACAAGCCTCGTGTGTCAGCTCCCTTGTGCGTCACACCTGCCACCCTCCCGTCTGGAAGGGCTGACTCTTCAGTCTCTCCCTGCCCCTCCACCCACCCAGTGTACGGGGGGCTAGTTCTTGAACCAACACCGCCATCACTTGTCACAAACAGAAGGCAGAAATAAATACAATGTGCGTACAGAAATACCATTAGATTCTAATTAGATACAGCTACCTGGGAGCCTGAGGTCTGCTTTCTCATTGCTAAAAATAATGGGAGATTAGCAAGCATTACAGAGAGGAGTTACAGGCTACTAGCCCTGAACGAGACGTCCTCTTCCTGAACACGACTGTCCAGGCGGCCGACGCCCTGCCCCTCTCCTGCCCCATCGCCTCCACGGCCACCCTCTGAAACGGTCTCCGGACCCTGCCCGCTGTGACCTGTAGCCTCGCAGAGCTACAGGAGTTCACGAAGGGGCTCAGCGACGGCTGTGTCTGAAAAGAGGAGCCGAAGTGCATAGGGCAGGACTCTAAGTCCCGTCGGACTTAAGGGGCTTATTTCTAGGCTCCTGCTGGTGAAACCCAGGAGGCACATGTGAGCTTTGCTGGGAAAACGCATTTCTGCTTCCAGCCACCTGAAGGCAGGCCAGGCACCAAACCCAACCCCATGGGTCCCTCCGTCTTTGTCCAGAGCCGGGTGGAGGCCAGGCCTTCTCAGAGGGGGCTGAGAACCCTGGGCCGGCACCTGTGGCGGGGAGAAGGCGGACTGGACGGGAACACGGGCGCCAGAGCAGCCAGGGTCTGCTTATGAGGACACTGAGCCACAGAGAGAGCGACCTTCTGAGGTCTCGTGGCTGGTGAGAGGCAGACGTGAGATCTGAACTCCAAGCCTCCTGACTTCAGCTCTCAGTGTACTAACCCTGGGCCCATGCAGAGGAGCCTTCTCTCACACAGGGATATTGTTCTGAAACCAAAACGGAGCGAAAAATCAGAGTCAGAGGCTTAAAATTCCCCTTGAGAATCTCTTAAATTGCCCATAGCATACAGTACTGCAGCATATTTCCCCGAGTCCGACGCAGCAAGCCTCCCCTCCAATGGAACACCAGAGGAAGCGGGTGGCTTGCCTTCAGGGTCTGTGCTGGCCTCACACCTACCTGTGCGTGGCCGGATTTACATAAACACAACGTTGTCTGACGGGACCGCCCACCCTGCTCTGTAGGAAAGAACTACCTGCAGGTACCAGTTCTGTAGTCATGCTCAGTGAAAAACGGTCCGTGCATCTTGCTGTGGCCCGGGGGGACGCACACCTGCATGTGTCTACACGGAGTGGGGGGACGGCTGAATGGCCCTGGCTCATCTCCCAGCTGCCTTGGGAGGTGTGCAGGCTGAAGGCCGTTAGGCCTGATTTATAGCAGAGGCCAGCAAGACCCAGAAAGGGGAACCGCCTTGCCCTGAGTCACAGCCGTAAATGGCTGAGCCAGCCCTTGAGTCTAGGTCCCTGGACCCTCCGGTCGTGGCACAGGGTTAGGGGCAGCTCTGGTACCCCCAATATCTCACATTTCAGACCTGGCTTGAGCACATGAGTGGGCTGTAGGTCAAGTCAAAAGGCAACAGGGACACACTTCAGAAGGCAGCACGTGGGCGGACCAGAGCAGGGCTGCTGCTGCGCCTCCGTCTGCCCCGGGCTTCCTGTGCTTCCTCTGCTGGGGGCCTTCGCGCCCACTGGCATTTGCTCAAGCACAGGCTGTGGCTGACGTGCCACGGAACAAACAGCCCCAGCCCTCAACCGGTGACTGGAAGTCTGAAAGCGTTAGTTACTGAGTCGTGTCCGACTCTTTGTGACCCCATGGACTGTAGCCTGCCAGACTCCTCTGTCCATGGGATTCTGCAGGTAAGAACACTGGAGTGGGTTGCCATGCCCTCCTCCGGGGGATCTTCCTGACTCAGGGACTGAAGGTAAGGCCTTTTGAGACCAGTTGCTCCGGGGTGTGCGCTATGCTGACCCCCTGAGGCCTCCAGCGGAGTGGAGCCCCAGCTGCCTGCAGAAGTAGCTGGTTTTGGTGACAGGCTCTTACAGGCTGCCTTCCTTCCCCACGCCCCTCCCAGGGCTTCCTGGGATCACCTCTCTTGCAAGATTCTAGCCCTTGAACCCTTATCTCAGCAGCTGCACCCATTTACAGTGTTGAGGCTCAGAGACAGCCTCAGACGCTGATCCCACGTAACACAGTTGGTTTGGTTTTTCCTTCAATTGGGCTTCCCTGGTGGCTCAAGTGGTAAAGAATCTGCCTCCAAAGCAGCAGGTAGACCCAGGTTCAATCCCTGGGTTGGGAAGATTCCCTGGAGAAGGAAATGGCTACCCATTCCAGTATCCTTGGCTGGAGAATTCCATGGACAGAGGAGGCTGGTGGGCTACAGTCCATGGGGTCACAAAGTCGAATGCGACTGAGTGACAAACACATACCTCCCTTGAATTATTGAGGTCAAGAGAAGGCTCTCTGAAAGTGAGCCAAATTCCTGGCATGCTGCTCTTTTGGGTGTGTGCCTCTGTCTATCCCTAGAAACCGTCTGCACAGATGGGGTGAGGTCTGGCCCCACTCGCCGTGCTACCAAGGGCAGGGCTGAGCGAGAAACTCCCTGCATGACCAGAGGGCTGTGGAGCAGGACACAGCGGCCGCACGGCCAGGGTAAGAGTTTCCCAAGGGGCCCCTCAGAGCAGGTGTTCCCTGGGGAGGAATGGATGCTGTGTGGTATCACTTTGCCCATTGTTTGGTAACACAAGTTTCTTAACTGCAGGACATCTCAGAGCCTTTAAGGAGTATGGTATGACGCTCCAAGAAGGGGACGTTCTGTGTAGACCGATGTGGCCTAGGAATGCTTTTAGACCAAGATGGTCTAACGTCCCCTGAGACACCGGTTTAGGAAACAGTGGCTTAGATGAAGGAGTCCTCCGTTAACCAGGTGACCCTGGGCAAATCATTGTACCTGAGTCACTCACCCAAGATCACTGCTGAGAAGAGGCAGGCTAGGGTTTGAAGACAAGAATGAACAAAGGGAA